GAAAGAAAAATAAAAGTAATTAAACTAAAAAAAAATTCTTCTTAGAAGAGAGAGAGGAGAAAAAGTAAAAACCTGTTAGAAAAAAAGTCAAACCAAAAAACCAAAGAAGGAAAAATGAAAAAGTGGCTTTCAAGACTTTAGAAAAAATAAAAGTCATGAAAGTCTAATTGGGTAAAAAAGGTGTCAAGACTTTTAAAAGCTCTAAAACCCTGAGAGTCTTAACGCCAATCAAGCCCTATGTTTCTTTTCGTTTTGTCCTATCTATGTCACGTCCATAAATATAATTAGGAGTATGCGAAAGTCCCGTCCCGTTATTTCCTGTCCCATTATTTCCCTTTTCATCTTGTCTCGTCTAATCTCGTCTCATTCCGTTTATTTTCATCCCGTCTTATCCAACATGTCCGTCTCGTCCCGTTCAATCTCATCATATCCCATTTCGTTCCTTTTTGTCTTGTCCTCTCTCTTCATGTTCCTTTTGTTTCTTCCCGTTATATCCTTAAATACATTTAGGGGTAGGCGAAATATCCGTCTTGTCCTATCATGTCCCTTTTCGTTCCTTTACATTCCGTCTCATCATTTAATATAAAAAGAAGTAGGCAAAATTCCCCTATTCTCGTGTTCTGTTTTTTCGTCTTGTTCTGCCTGTCTCGTCTCATTTTATCTCAAAATACTTAAAAACAATATTCTTTCTATAATATCTTGAGAACTACTAAATAATAGTTTTTTTTTATAGATTTATATAAAATCTTTCTCTTTTTTGTAAATGACTTTTCATATTTTTGTTAAACATATTTAATGAATGATAACTATTATAAAAATTAAAAAAAAAAAGAAAATATGATATATTAAATTTTTTGCGTTGGCGTGTCAAATTTAGAAATACCCTCTTCTACTGAAGTGTCAGCTTGAGAAGAGAATCTTATCAACTATATATATATATATATATATCTATATAGATACGGGTTACCATATGTGGGATCTTTTGCAAGACTGCTAGAGTAATCCCCATTTCCACATGAATATCCAGCCGTGTAGCATCTGTTACCGAAAATGATTGAAAACAAAAAGTATTAGAGTTATACTTTGTAGCGCCTAATACCCAATATTGTAAAGCACACATTTGTAGAGAACATCAAAATTAATTTTTAAAATTTTACGTAAAAATACCAGTTTTGTTTTTAAGAACAAAATGTTTCCGTCTATCTTTTCATTTGATTTCGTAATTGGTTGAATAAGAAACCAAACATGGCTAATGAAATTCTATTTCCTCAACTTTAATGTCATCTATTTACTACTGGAGCACGAGTAAATTTGATTGACGAAAAGCAAATAAGTAGATTAGAGCAAACTTGTTCTTTTGGGTAAGAATATAGATCAAACGTTAGTAGACATAAGCAGAGCAAACATTGGTGTTGAAGAATCACCCAAGATTTAACTCCTAAATCTAGATTCTTTCTCTTCCGGATTTGATGCGATAAGAAGAAAGAAGTAGAAGCAAGATAGAAAACAACACAGAGATTTTGGTAACCCAGGAGTTCCTTGCGTACTCTCTTGGGGCACGGCAACTTCTTCACTAGAACGGAGCTCTTAACTTGAGCTTGACGATCTCTCTCTTTGTGCTCTCTCTCTCTCAGCTCTCTGATCCGTTACAACAAGAAACTCGGATCTTCACTCTCCATCATCTCTCACAGCTCGAGAGACTTAACCAGGCTTTATACTTAGCCGGTCTAGAACTTTCTGTCACCTACCCGTGTACATTAAACTGGTACACTTATGGTTAAGCTAAATGAGCTAATCCCCACTCAAATAGACTTAAGGCACAGAGAAGAGATAATTACAAGTGATTCAGAATATACACCTTCAATTGGTAACAGAGATAATTATACTCAATAGCTTTAAAATCAGTTATTTTTTCTCAATGTCATTTCATTCTTCCACGCCTATAATAAATCTTCTACATCATCCTTATTATAGCGAAAGAGGCAATGGCTCAACGGCAAAAATGATTTTATGGGTCTGGATCCTCGTTGCATCATACACACACACAAAAACAAGGCAAAAATGATTTTCTGGGTGTGGATCCTGGTTGCATCATACACACACACACACACAAACAGTTTAAATTTTTGTAGACTTTAAACTAACAAAAACATGGTAATTGAGAGAGAGAGAGAAAAAAGTAAGCAAATTACCTAAGTCAGATTCTGGTGCAGATTATGTTCAGGTTCGGGTACATGTAGTATCTCGTCAATGTAGTCCACCGGCTGTCCTCTGGCAATCATAATGTTACGGACTCCAGTCAACAAAGCAACTCGGAGCTCCTCAGGATTCGCCTGCATTTGAAATTACAAAAAAAAAAACTACAACAAATAAAACAAAAACAATTACTTTTGATTATTAAAACAAAAAGTTGGATTTCAAAGAATTTAAAAAAATCTTAGTAAAATCTTAGAGAATTTTATTATTGATTTACGGATTTTTAAAAATCTTAGTAAAATCCGCTGTTATTGGTTCGCGGATTTCTAAATTCTAATCAAAATCTCTTGTTATTCAAAAAGTTTAGTGTTCATTACTTTTGTAATTTTACTAAAATCTATTGTTATTGGAAGGTAAATTCTTTGCATTTTTAATCATATGACTCAACTTTCAAAATACCATGTATATCTATGGGATTCTAAAAAAAAAAAAAAAAAAAAAAAAAAAAAAAAAAAAAAACTGACTTCATAAAACAAAAAACGTCAAACACAACAACAGTTCACGATAACACCATAGCAAATATTAATAATAAAAAATATGAAGATGACACCATCATCATCGTTGACTTCCATTGCCCAATGCATCTGCCCACATACTAGATGCTATCATGTTTCTCCAATTGTTCGCATATTCTCTTTGTTGAGATTCAAGAGTGCCTACGTCTCCATTTCTTCCATGCTAAACCTGCAACAATGTAATGTTTGTAGAGAAAAACTTCTAAGAACATCACATGTCAAAACTAGAGCTAAACAGAGATTCAGAGCTAAAAGTAATACACAAAAAAAACATGAAGAATTATAGTGGCTAAAGAGAAGTGAAACGAACTTAACAAAACTAACCAATATCAACACATAATATAAGACATGGTAAAATAAGAGTACAAGCAAAGAAATTACCTGTATTTGGCCAAAGAACAAGATGGAAGAGCAATGCAAATGGAAGAAGAATGATATACTTATATGCACACGGCAGAGAAAAGGTTAGGAAATCTCCTTTGAAAAATTACGTATCGCCTTATGAAGGGAATTCTAGAAGCAAAAAGAATTTTACAAAATCAATGACAATCCATACAAAATATTTTATAAGAATTCATAATATCTTTGTCAAATCTACTAAAATTTTCAAAAAAATCTCTTGAGTTTCGAAACCCTTAAAATCCCCAGAACTCTACTCCCAATAACAAAATGTGAGTTGATAAACTGATTAGCAAAAACTATTTCCTAAGTCACACTGAAGTGCCATGACATGTGAAAACGAACAAAATGAACGAAGTAAAGAAATATACGCTCACAGTTATAAGAACATACAAGAAGTTTGAATAGAGTTAGAGAATACTGGATAGAGTTTTTCGGTATTTCAAGCATTATCAACACCTCAATTTGAGACACGAGTTGCTTACATCTACTTAATCTTTAACAGCCATTTATTACCCAAATCATTATTTCCATGCTTGTTAACGAAAAAAATAATGAACTGGATAACATACTGTAAACCAAATTACAACAGTGATACGTATACAATCATGTCGAGACTGGCGTGACAAAAGATAGAATGCACACAAGCTCTAGTAAATAGCAAAGTTATTTTACTGTTAGCAACTATTATAAGCATAAACTTGATCAACATATATCTATTACAAAGAAATTTTTGAAAAAAAAAAAAAAATTGCATTACTTAGAAGTGAAAAATTCCCTAAATATATATATCGGACATGTACACAGGTTGAAAATGAAAAACAAACAAAACAGAGCCAAACATCTGAAGAGAAGCAATACCAATATAATTAAGCGTAAACTCAAAAGCCTTTGTGGTCTCCTCTTCGGTTACGCTTAATTATATTGGTATCTTATTCTCTTCGGCAATGCTACATTCAGCTAACACTGATCATTCCATCTCCTTTCTGATGAACCGAATGTAGCATTGCCTAAGAGAATAAGATGTTTGAATTACATTCAAGGAGATGGAATGATCAGTGTTAACAATCCTCCGCCCAGAATAGCTAAAGCTTCTGCTGCTTCAACGCCATAAGTTTCGCATCCAGAAAGGGCAAGTAGTACCTCTGATCGCAAGAGCAGAACCAGCGGTGTTATAAGTAAACCTTAATCTGAATTTCAACAATTTAACACTCTTCCGATGAGTCTGGCAAAACACAACGTGATGTAGAACGGAGAAACTCAAAAGCCACAACATTTTCTTCAGTAAAGGAAAAATATTCACTACAAACTCAACTATATAACAAAATATGGGCCTATTAGGCGTAACCCTTTTGAGCCTATTATATTGTTGAAATTTAGATTAGGGTTTACTAAACTCAGATTAGGGTAGTATAAAAGAAAATCTATCTTTTATTTTATTGTCCACTAATATCCGTCTCTCCCCGAGGATGACGTTAGCCGTTGGAGTAGGTTTAGGGATCTGAAATCTGGCGGTTTTGAATTTGAGATCTGTGACATCCCTGCTGTTAGAAGTATAAGGCTTGCAATTTGGAGAATTCAGGAAGTGGAGTTGTGGGCTATGAAAACCACACTCGAAATTTATAGGTTTTGCAAGGAAGAAACTTAGGGAGATTTAGGGCTAGATTTTGATGTAAGTCGAATGAATCGTAAGCAAGGATTTGGCTAAACGGAATTGTATTAAACGAATGAATTTGGTTACAATGAATTCTCAGAAGAGAGAAAGAACTAAGCTCAAAGGTGAATACAAGGAAAGTATGATAGTAATTAGGTCTAAATGATCGGAAGAAGATGTTGTGTCCCTTGATCCGACTGCTGTCAAGCTCCTTTTATAGCTCCAGAATCAGCTACGATCCACCTCCGCGTATCTCGCCACGTGCAGCTAACGATCCCGGTGATCTCGGACCAGACCGGATTTGAAGGAGATCTTCTTTGACTTCGTCTTTCTTCGCAGTGCCGACCTGGTCCTTGATCGAGCTGGAGCTCGTCTTTACGTCGACCGGAATAGCTCGGATGGCAGTTAACTGGCTTACGAGGGAGTCGCTTGGTGGGCTCGAGGTCTTCTTGCTGGGCTTGAGTGGGCCTGGACTTCAATCTTGGATCAAGGTAATGGGCCCTTACGGGCTAGATTCCAGGTGTGGAATCTGGGTCCAACAATTGCCCCCCAGCCCTTTTAAGTGAGTTTCGAACTTAAAACGGGCGGTTTGATTTCATATTTCAAAAATTCAAACTTTTGCCGGGCTAATTCGAATTCCTCGATTCGGGGTATATTCGAGCTTATCCGCAATAATTTGAACGGGGTAAAAGATCACGGGGATCTCGTCGTTGGAAATTGCCTTAGGCATTATTTTCTTTTCTTCGAGGTGAAGATAAGATCTGGCCGTTGAAACGAGATGAACGGTCGAGATCGCGAACGAATCTTGTCAACTCGCTGCAATCTCGCTACCGAGCTCCTCGAGAACGGATATCGCGTGTTACCGAGATTCGAAATGATTATGTTTTCGAATCGGACGGTTCAGATTGAGGAGAGCGAAGAGCCCGTGCGGCTGAGATCTGTTGGGACCCACAGCGCGTCACATCATCAGCTCGTCGCATGCAAGCGGTTAAGATCTGTGAGTTGTACGGTCGAGATTCACGCAGAAAAATCGGATTCTTTGCGATCTCTTCAGCAGTTAATGCTGAATATAAACTCGACCCACTACTCTTCTCTTTAACCGTGCCCACGTTTTTGAAAAGGTAACTTCTCCTCTCTCTTTTACTTATTTATTTGCTCTCAATTTTAGATTAGATAACTCCAAGTTCTTGAAAATTATCGAACCTTTGCAAAATTTCGAGCGTTTTAGGTTGTTTCGATTTCGAATTTCTCCAAAACCTCCTTCAACCTCTTTTTCCTCCGTCTCCTCCTCCGATTACAATGCCTCCGAAGAATCGTCAAGCAAGAGAAGGGAAAGGCCGTCGACCCCGGTGGCGACGGGAAGTTACGCCGCACGCCGAGACGGCGCTCGACGCCGAAGCCTAGACACCTTCCGTCAGGATTTCGGGATCCCGGACGAGATCGAGCTCGTCCTGCCGGCTGAGGGCGAGGACCCGGAGCATGTTCGTCCGGGGTTTTGCTGCGCCTACACGTCGTATTGGCGGAGCGCCGGGATGATTTTCCCGGTCCCTCGTTTTCTGATGGAAGCGCTCGCTCATTACAAGATGGCGTTTCCACAGATGCACCCGAGCTTCGTCCGCCACGTGATAGGATGTGCGGTTCGAGCTCGGGAAGAGGGCGTCTCGTTCGGTGTTCGAGATTGAGAAAGCTTTTCTCGGTGAAGAACAACACCAGGCTCCCGGGTCGTTTTACTCCTCGCCGAGGCCGAATCGGCGAATATTCACGAACACCCCGCAGAGGGATAGCGGGTGGAGTGACGAGATGTTCTTCTTCCGGGTCAGCGAGGCCACGATGGGCGACTTCGACTTTGGTCGAATCCGAACGGAGTGGGCGACTAGCGTTGGTTAGCTTAGGCCGATTTCCGTTTAGGATAGTCGATACCTCGCTTGACTTATGGAATACCTCGTTTATTGATGATTTTTTTTGTCTTTTGCAGTTGTAGATCCAGTACCGAACAACCCGGGGATTGATTACCTCGTCGAGCGACTCGGAAGGGAAAAGGTGAACTGGAGTACTTTTACTCCGGAACGGATCCGTCGAGTTCTCAGCTCTCCTCCTGCTCCTCCTCCAGGTAATAATCTCCCTTGACCAGCTAGAAATTCATTTTACGAACTCTTTGTAACGAGCTGTTTACATAAATTTTCCAGCTGATCTTCCGGTTAGATCGGCGCAAGATTCTAGCTCCGCTTCTTCTGTTCCTCCTCTCACGCAGATCGAAAATGCCTCGTCGTCAGCCTCTCAGATCCCGGACCGCAAAGGGTGCCAAGGCGCTTCCTCGGGTGGAAGTCGAGTTCGTGCCGGCGAGTTCGTAACGGCGGTGGAGGAGGCTATGGCTTCGAAGCCCACGGCGGGGTCTTCTGCCCTTGCCGACCAGGTGGTTGACCAGGTCGACGCGACCGCTGAAGGAGAGATCGTTCCTCTCCCGAGTACGGTTCATGTGAGCTCCGATCGGACTCGGAGTTCGGATCAAGGTCACTCGAGGCAGGCGCCGAAGCGAGCTCGGAGTGACGATGGAGAGACTCGTTCTCGCGAGGGCGGCCCGACTGCCTCGAACGGGAGCGGGGGAAAGCCGCCGTTTTACTGGCAGTACGAGAATTCCAGAGGCTTCCCCGTTCAGGACGACGAGGAGGGAACAGCTCGCATTCAGCTCCACTTCAAGCCCGTCGGATGCCGGCTCCCGTCCCTGAACCAGATGTCTGAGAAGGAGCTCTACATCGCGACGTGCGCTGCGAGCGGGAGGGTAAGAACTGTTTCCCTAGTCAAAACTTTAGACGAGAGTCTTTGTTGTTGTTTTGGCCTTGGTTGAATTTTTTGTTTTTGTTAGGCTGTGGCAGCTCGTAACATGTTGGTGTCCCGCCTGGAGTCGAGGATCAGAGATGCGCCTCAGCAGAAAGAGCTCGATCAGGTGAAGGAGCTCGTTGCCAAGTTGACCTCCGATCTCTCTGCGGCGAACGAGCGGGTAGCTCGTCAGGGTGAGCTCTTGAAGAAACACACCTCGCAGGAGGGTCGTGTGAAAGAGCTCGAGACCAGGGAGGCCGATCTCTTGCGCCAGCTGTCCCAGAATCAGGAGCAGATGGCGGCTTTGCAGAAGGAGAGCTCGAGTGCGCTGACGCAGTCGCTTCGCCTTAGCCGGGAGAACCAGGTACTCGTCGCCGAGAAGGACAACGTAGCTCGCCGTGCCAACCGCGCAGGTCGGAGGGAGATGGTCGCGAAGCATCGGGAAGTGCTTGAATCGGCTAAGGCAAAGTTCGAGGAGAAGAGGGTGGAAGGTGAGAAGGAGGGCGATCAGATCGAACTCCAATCCAACATCGATCTCCTTACGTCGCTGATCTCCGGTGCGATCAACCAGGAGGAAGAGCTCGCCAGGTTGAAGGGGCTCGAGGATGAGGTGGCCGAAGCAGCCAAGGCGGCCCAAGTCTCCGATTTCTCGATCGGGAAGTTTAACCTTCCCGTGGTTTCGGAGGACTCGGTCGCGCGCATGGAGATCGACCCATCGACGAGCATCCCGGTTGGCTTGAACCCGTTCGGGACGAATGCCGAAGAGAAGGGAAGCAACGAGGAGGAAGAGAAGGAAGATGAAGAGATGACCGTCGAGGACTGAGCTCTTGGTCGACCTCTTTCTATCTCTACTCCTTTTTCAATTTATTTTAAGACTTGGTTGCCCGGCGGGGTTTTTACGCTTTATGTTTCGGATTTGGTGCCTGGGAAGGCTTTTATCCACAAACTCGTTTGCCCGCGGGGGCTTTTAATGTTTTGGCCTTAGGCGTTTTGCCTTAGGCGCTTTTGCTCAAATTGTTTTGCAACTTTCATTTTAGCTCGCGTTTTTACTTGCCAAAATGTTTTGAGGCTTTTTGACTAAGTGTTTTGGCCGGTCGAGAGACCAGGGCCAAGATGTACTTTAGTCGGAGGTCGAATCGATCCGTTTAGGTTGATTCAACACTTAGAATATTTTTACTAGTTTTGGCCGATCGTTGTCGAGCTAAACGTAGTTTTAGGTCGAATCGAGTCCGATTCGGGACGATTAGATCGATTCAACACTTAGGCGAATTTTACTAGTTTTGGCTGATCGCGTGGAACGAGCTAAACATAGTTTTAGGTCGAATCAAGTCCAATTCGGGACGATTAGATCGATTCAACACTTAGGCGAATTTTACCGATTTTCGTCGATCGCACGGATCGAGCTAAACGTGGTGTTTATTCTTTTTCGAGCTCTTTGGCGAACTGATGTAGCTCGCGCTTTGCGGAGTTGTTTTCCCGTCTTTCGATCGAGGTGTTTCTTATTCGGCTTTTGGAGATGGAATTTATTACCTTTCGAAGTTCGTCTTGGTTTTGTCGCTTCGCCGATAGTGTTCCGAGCTAATCGTGAACTTTAGGTCCGTCTGGATGGCTCGGCTTCGTGTTAGATTTCGGGCTGTCTCTGGGTCTTCGGTTCTACGATTGCTAGAACACTACGCTGGATGCTTGGACGCTGCGGACTTCGATTGGTTTTTGCGAAGTAAGAAATTGAAGGTAAAGAGGTGGACTCTGAACCTCACTTCGTTCGAAAGGGGAATATCGAGGTGATCTCGATCTTCCGATCTGTTTTGAGACGAGAGAAAGAGCTCGATTTCTTTTCAGGTCACGCAAGATCAGGCGTTTTCGACGTAAATTGATACGCTTAAGTAATTCGGAATTTCTTAAGGACTTGCTGAGTCGATTCGAGCAATTCGTAGCGATAAACATAGAAAACATTTTATTTAAGTATAATATTCGAGATGATACAAATCGAGCCCGTTTTAGGGCCGGCCAATGAGGTCGTCTCAAATAAAACGAAGTAAATTCGGATTGGGGCTGGACTCGTGGTTGAGCTGCCTACGTACCCCCAGGGAAGGAGGATCAAGCCTAAACGTAGTTCGAGGGGTGGAGATACTCAGATTAGATCCTTTTCAGTGATAGTACCTTTTCAGGTTCATCGCATTCCAAGGTCTTAGTTCAGGTATTCCGTTTCTGACTTTTGTGAGCTTGTAGACGCCATCGCGAACTACTTCGGTAATGAGGTAGGGACCTTCCCAGTTGGTCCCAAGTTTCCCTGCACCGCTCTTTGGTATAGTCTTGTACTTTTCTCAGAACCATGTCGCCTATATGAAAGCTCCGGTGTTTAACCTTGGAGTTGTAATAGCGAGCTGCGGCCTGTTGATAGTTTTGTATCCGGATCAGAGCTTGATCTCGACGTTCGTCGATAAGGTCAAGGTGATCTCTCAACATTTCTTCGTTCAGCTCGACGTTCGCTGGACATTGCATCCTGCGAAGACTTGGAACGGAAGTTTCAGTTGGGATGACGGCCTCTAGCCCGTAAGCTAATGAGAACGGGGTCTCATGAGTAGCTTTGTGAGGTGTAGTTCGGCAAGCCCAAAGAACTGCTGCGAGCTCTTCGGACCACCTATGTTTACGGGCGTCGAGTCGTTTCTTGAGGTTACTCAAGAGGGTTTTGTTTGTTGCTTCAGCTTGCCCGTTCCCTTGAGGGTAACGAGGTGTGGAATACGTTATGCGTATGTTCCACTTCTTGCAGAAGTCTTTGAATGTTCGAGCTATGAACTGAGATCCGTTATCTGTCACGATCTCGAAAGGGAGCCCGTGTCGACAAATGATGTCTTTCCAGATAAATTTCCGGACCTCGAGTTCGGTCGTTTGTTGGTATGGTTTGGCCTCGATCCATTTAGTGAAGTAGTCAGTAAGGACTAATAGGTATTGGAATTGCTTTCGGTCCCGAAGAGACCATAGGTCCTATTATGTCCATAGACCACCTCATAAAAGGATAAGGTGAAGAGATCGATGAGAGTGTTTCAGCTGGGACGTGAATGCTTGGGGCGTGCCTTTGGCATTTGTCACATCGCCTGGAGTACTGTTCGCAGTCTCTATCATCGTCGGCCAGAAGTAGCCTAGCTTTTTAATCCGTATGACGAGAGCTCGGCCTGCGGAATGACTTCCGCAAGGTCCTTGATGAGTCTCGTGCATTACGGTGTAAGCTTCTTCGCCATGGATGCATGTTAGATATGGTTCGATAAGGCTTCGCTTGTAGAGCTTATCTTCCATCATGCAATAATGTGCGCTTTGGGCTTTTAGCTTGCGAGATGCCCATTTTTCGTTAGGGACGGCTCCGAGCTGGATATACTCGATTATAGGGGTTCTCCAGTCGGGTCTCGCAGCGAACTCTTCCTTTAAGGTGAGTTCGTTCGCCATAGCAGATGGGACGGTATGGATCGTGGACTCTTGCGTATTTTGCGAAGAGTCCGAATCGATATACCTTGTTTTTTGCCTATCTTGGTCAGGTTCTTCTTCCTCGGAATCAGGTTCCGGGTTAGATGGTCCCGGATCTTGGGACTGTCTAGTTTGAGAACGAGTAGACGGGCGCGAGGTAATTGCGTTTATACTGTCAGACTTGAGTGCGATGTCGATGCTAGGTTTATCTATGCCTTCGACTGGGATCACACGTCTTACAGTTGGGTCCGAAGTGGAGGCGAGAGCAGCTAAGGCGTCAGCCGAAGTGTTCTCTCCCCTAGGCACCCTAGTTAGTTCGAATTTACTGAATTGTCCAGCTAAATCTCGAACTACTTTGAGATAAGCTTCCATGCGCTCCTCTTTTGCTTCGTATACTCGCCGCTGTATTGGCTAGTAACGAGCTGGGAGTCGCTGAATGCGTTGATCTCATTCACGCCGATCCCGATTGCGAGTCGGAGTCCGGCTATGAGTGCCTCGTATTCGGCCTCATTGTTAGAGGCGACGAATCCGAGTCTGAACGATTGTTCGATCACTTCTCCGGTTGGAGATGTGAGTTTGATTCCGACGCCAGCTCCTTGTTTGGACGAGGCTCCATCTACGAAGAGTGTCCAAACTTTAGAGAGGGTGGTATCGTTATTGGCTTCCGGTGCCAGCTCGATCATGAAATCAGCTAGTACCTGGGCTTTAGCACAGGTTCTAGTTCGATATTCGATGTCGTATTCGCTGAGCTCGATAGCCCATTTAGCTAGTCGTCCAGATTGACTTGGACTATGTAGCATAGTTCGCAATGGTTGCGAGGTCATCACCACGATTGTGTGTGATTGAAAGTAAGGTCGCAGCTTGCGGACATTACTATTGCTAAGGCAAGTTTTTCCATAGCTGGGTATCTAGTCTCGGCATCAATCAGGGATTTACTTACGTAAAAGATTGGTCTTTGTTCGTTTAGCTCTTCACGAACTAAGACCCCGCTGACCGCTGCAGGCGAGACCGCGATGTAAAGGTATAGCGGTTCTCCTTCTACTGGTTTTGCCAGTATAGGAGGTTCGCTGAGGTAAGTTTTGAGCTGTTTGAAAGCTTCTTCGCATTTTTCGTCCCAGAGGAATTTTTTATTTCCTCGGAGGAGCTGGTAAAATGGAAGACACTTGTCGGTTGACCGGGAAATGAACCTATTAAGGGCTGCTATTCGACCGGTTAACCGTTGTACTTCTCTAGTATTTTCTGGAGAAGGCATATCTAAGAGGGCAGAGATTTGCTTCGGGTTCGCCTCGATTCCGCGTTCAGTTACTAGGTAACCGAGGAACTCGCCAGACGGAACTCCGAATGTACACTTAGTCGGGTTCAGCTTCATGCCGTACTTGTTAAGTATGGAGAAGCATACCCGGAGCTGTGCGACGTGGTCTGTTTCCCTAGAGGATTTGACCAGCATATCGTCTATGTACACCTCCATTGTTTTACCGAGCTGATCGGCAAACATTTTGTTTACGAGGCGCTGATATGTAGCTCCCGCATTTTTTAGCCCGAATGGCATTACTTTGTAGCAGTAAGTACCTCGGTCTGTTATGAAAGCTGTTTTCTCCTGATCTTCTGGGTTCATCTTGATTTGATTATACCCAGAAAACGCATCCATGAAGGATAGGAGCTGGTGACCAGCCGTAGCTTCGACCAAGCGATCTATATGAGGAAGTGGATAGCTGTCTTTTGGACAAGCTTTATTAAGGTCTGTGAAATCGATACAGACTCTCCACTTTCCGTTTTTCTTTTTGACAACTACAGGATTAGCTAAGCCAGTCGGGGTATTTCACCTCTCTGATCGAGCCTACCTTGAGTAGTCGGTCTACTTCGTCGTTTACTGCTTTAGCCCGATCTGGGCCGAGTTTTCGACGTTTTTGTTTCATGGGTTTGAACGTGGGATCTACGTTCAGCTCGTGAGACGTGATCCTAGTGTCAATCCCGGGCATGTCCGCGGTGGACCATGCGAATGTGCTGATGTTTTCCTTTAGGAAGGCGATCAGCTCGTCACGGATAGGTTTTGCGAGATCGATTCCGATACCAACGCGCCTTTCGGGGTCGGTTTCGTCGATGCAAACCTGAGTGACCAAGTCTTTTCGAGGTTCGCGGACGGTCGGATCTTTGCCATGTTTGATCTGCCGAATCGCGAGCTCCTCTTCTTTCTGTAATTGCTATACTGGCGATTTTTCAGCTCGCAAGTAGCTGCCCATATAGCAATCTCGGGAAGCTCGTTGGCAACCGCGAATTGTTTTTGTTCCCCAAGGTGTAGGGAACTTGACGCATTGGTGGTAAGTGGATGCAACTGCTTTCATGGTGTAGAGCCACGGCCTGCCGAGAATGGCATTGAATGGCGCGGGGCGATCTACGACCACAAAGTCAACTGTTTTCGTTATACCACCTGCTTTGATTGGGAGCTGGATAGTTCCCATGGAATAGGTCGTTTCTCCTGCGAACCCAGTTAGGGGCGTACGGCCTCCTATGAGTGCGGAGTTTTCGAATCCCATTCGCTTGAAAGCATCGTAGAACAGCACGTCTACAGAGCTTCCTGTGTCTATCATGACTCTGGTCAGCTCGAATCCGGCTACGGCGAGCTCGATTACGAGTGCATCGTCATGAGGTTTATCGAGTGCGAGTGTTTCGCTTTCTCGAAATTTGATTTCGTGATCAGGTCCGTCTAGAGGACGTGGTTGTCCAGATGACTCGACCCGTCGCTGATGTGCTTTGATCGAGTTAATCGAGTCTTTGCACATCTTCGAGCCACCGCAAATGAAGTCAATTCGTTTAGGGGTAGGTGGCTCTACTCCCCCCGAGAGCTTGTGAAGTCTGCGTAAGCAAGAGATCGCAATGCTCTTAGTATCGGGTCTGGAGGTAGGTGATGTAACAGGCGAGCTTCTGTAAGAATGCTCTATCCCCCCGACAAGTCTAGGAGGTCTGTGTGAGCTAGAGCTCGTAGCCTTTCTAGGAGCGGGTGGGGGGGTGACCACGGATCTCGTTGAGCCGCCGCAAAGGCTGAGCTCTCCGAAGATTAGGTCGATTCTTTTCCTGTTAGAAGGAGGGGAATCGGGGCTTCGACCTTGATGCGATCATGGATGAGGAGGTTCAGGAAAAACAGCTTTTGGCCGAGGAAGAAGATGGAATGGAACAGCTTGTAACCGAGGAGGGACTTGAAGCAGAGCAGCTTGAACTTGAGGAGAATATAGCCATTCCAACTGGCCCCATTACTCGTTCACAAACTAAGGCACTAAACCAAGAGATTGGCAAAGTCCTTAGCTGTTTGAGTCAGCAAGAAACCAAGCCAACTACTCTAGTTTGCTTGAAGTCCTTACATGAGGGATAAGAGAGACAAGTGTGATTTGGTGTGCTCTTTTTCCCTTGTCAAGTTTTGTCCCACCGGGTTTTCTTGACAAGGTTTTTAACGAGGCCCAAACCACACTTCCAGAACCTCTCTTTTGTCCCAAGTGTTTAGGTCCGGCCCATAATTCAAAGGAGAGCGCCAGAAGCCGAAGGGTCTCATTTCTCAGTCTTTGTTTCATTTATGTTTTTTGTGATTTCTCGAGATGTTTGGAGCTTGTTCCAACACCTCTCTCTTTCCTTCTCTCTCTCTCTCGTTTCCTTTATAACTGAAACCCTAGTCTCTCTTTGAAGTTTATCAAATAATCTTTTACCAAAAACCTCTCTTTTGTTTGATCATTCTCTGTTCACTTGTTGTGCGTAATATCAACTAAGTCTACAGATTCCCTCTCACTTGTTGTATGTAATATCAACACGTTGGAGGTGGTGTTAGAGATCTCTTCCGCTGGATCTCTAGTATAGCCATTCGCTTCCCTTCTCAATCCGCTCAATCACTCCTCATTGGTTCCTTTGTGATCCGATCCATTCTTTCACTTACCTTCATTCACGATCTACTCCAGGGGCGTATCAGACCTCGACTTCGCGTTCTCTTTTCTGAGGTGCGTTGTCGGAGTCTTTAGCTGGTTTGGGTTTTGGCTTTTCGGCCTTAACCGCGGTTTCAGCTGTTTTGCTTTTTCCCTTCTTTTTGCTAGACTTTTTGCCTTTAGCACGGCATTCCTCTGTGGAATGGCCGTTTGTATTGTGAATATCGCAGTGTTTCTCTTCTTCCTCCGAGCTCTTTATGGGAGCTGAAGTTTCGATAGAGTAGGAATGTTGTCCTTTACTCTGCGAAGGTGGTTTAGCTGGTGCAGTTTTCTTAGCACCTGGTGGAGCATATGCGAGCTCCCCTTTGAGGTACTTTTCTCTGAGGAGAGCTGTGTCTTCCTCGAGAGTTGCGAATGCTGATGCGCGATGTAATGCGTCATCTAGTGAAATTGTAGGTCGAACAGTTAGTTCTTCTCTAAATTTCGATTCGTACCACAAGTTGTTTTTGAGGGCAAGTAGAGCTACTGCCTCATTAGGGTTTGTGATCTTAGCTTTGACTGATTTGAATCTGTCAATGTAAGATCGAAGTGATTCCTTTGGACCTTGAGAAAGTCTCCAAAGGTCTGCTTCCGTAATTTTAGATTCGATGAAGATCGAATACTGTTTTAGGAAGGCTGATTGGAGCTGGTCGAAATTATCGATTGAGTTTTCGTCCAGCGTTGAGAACCATTCTTGAGCTGGTCCGATCAGGTTCTCAGCGAAGAGCCTGCAGTAGGCTGCTTCTATCTCTTCTGGAGAGAAAGGAACTCGAGATACGACGAGGTTAAAAGCTCGCATGTAAGCTCTCGGATCGCTGTTACCAGAGTATTCTGGGATACGCAGCTTGCTGGTATCTCGGATATAGGTACTTTTGATCCTGAGTGAAAAAGGAGTTCGTCTAGACTCTTTAATCACTCTGTCGATATCAGGAGCTGAGCTCGTTGCTTGATGAAACATTGAGCTCATATGCTGAAACGCGAGGTCTGTGCGATCTTGGAATCTTTCGAAAGATTCGCTGTCGACGAGGTTACGTGGATCAGCTGGATTCCGATTAGCTGGAATCGGATAGAATGGAGCTTGATTCATGGAATCGTTAGCTCCTTGGAATTGAGCTCGATTGGGCTGACCGTTCGAGCTAGGGAATTGTTGATAATTCCCGTTCACGTGCTCTCGCGCTGTTGCGGAGGGCTGTGAACCGTATGTCGCGCCTAGCTGATTCTCAAACTGAGGCATTGCCTGCGAGCTCGAGGCAAAAGCTGAAGCGCCAAACCACCTAGGCCTAGCTGGATCGGTACCAGGTGGCCCTGGGGGTGGAGATGAGAGCGGAACGTTCGGTTGAGCTCTCGTCTCGCTTGGGTGCGAGCTCGTATTGTTTATGCCAACTGGTGGCGAGCTCGGCGGTGGACCGAAAGTCTGAGAGACTTGAGGTCGCGAAGGCGTAACGAATTGCGCCTGAGGTACGCCAGATGCGTAGATCGTCGAAAAATCGAGCTGAGTCCGCGGAGGCGGGCTAGTGATGTTTCGAGATTCAGCGAGGCGTCTCTCATGTCTCTCCAGCCTAGTTTCGTGGTCGCGCTGACCGTTTACCAGGTTGGTGAGAAGCTGTTTGATCTGTGCCAGATCATCTGGACTAGCTCGCGGAGGAGTTTGCGTCGCAGATGCAGGTCGAACAGGAATAGTCCGACTCTGTGGAGTCACAGTTGTTGGGGGATCTTCCGATCTGACCCAAACTCGAGAGAGAGGTCTCTCGATGGTGTGCGAACCCAGATTCGGTAGAATCGGGCTCGGGGTTGCTACCGGCGTGGCGAGATTGATCACCACTGGTTCCACGCGAGGTGGAGTGCTAAGCTGCACTCCAGTGGAGGCGGTAGCAGATGTGATCGGCGTATTCGAAGTGTTGGCAGTTTGGCGGCTACCAACATTCGACGCGATCTGATCTCTCGATGCATCAGCAGTTTGGCTGCTACTGATGTTCGAGGTGATCTGATCCGATGGGATCGAGTTTTGGGAGTTAGATCCCTGGGTTTGCGACCGGATAGTATCCATTTTCGCTCTTACCTGGCTTAGGTTCGACCCTTGTGTAAGAAAATCTATGTTTCCTCCCCACAGTCGGCGCCAAAATGTGGGCTATGAAAACCACACTCGAAATTTATAGGTTTTGCAAGGAAGAAACTTAGGGAGATTTAGGGCTAGATTTTGATGTAAGTCGAATGAATCGTAAGCAAGGATTTGGCTAAACGGAATTGTATTAAACGAATGAATTTGGTTACAATGAATTCTCAGAAGAGAGAAAGAACTAAGCTCAAAGGTGAATACAAGGAAAGTATGATAGTAATTAGGTCTAAAGTGATCGGAAGAAGATGAGTCTGTCCCTTGATCCGACTGCTGTCAAGCTCCTTTTATAGCTCCAGAATCAGCTACGATCCACCTCCGCGTATCTCGCCACGTGCAGCTAACGATCCCGGTGATCTCGGACCAGACCGGATTTGAAGGAGATCTTCTTTGACTTCGTCTTTCTTCGCAGTGCCGACCTGGTCCTTGATCGAGCTGGAGCTCGTCTTTACGTCGACCGGAATAGCTCGGATGGCAGTTAACTGGCTTACGAGGGAGTCGCTTGGTGGGCTCGAGGTCTTCTTGCTGGGCTTGAGTGGGCCTGGACTTCAATCTTGGATCAAGGTAATGGGCCCTTACGGGCTAGATTCCAGGTGTGGAATCTGGGTCCAACAGGAGTTTTAAAAAACTTTTCTTTCCTTGAACCCATTTCTTAAAAAATCCTAGATTTAGTCACTAATTTTTGTGGGCCTTTCTATTCGAAGTGAAACCCAAAGCCCAAAGCCCATGGATCAATAAGGGGCGAAAAGCCTATTCTTGTGAAGTCATAACCCTAGAACCTTCAGCCTCCACTCTATATTAAAGAGCAGCCACAAATTTTAGAGAGACAGAGAGCATATCGGCAGAAAAGTCCTGCCAAAATCTTGCCATGCAGAGCCATCTTGAAAGAGAACTCACCAGAAGAACCTAGAGGGCGGAAAGAAACAGATCTGAGGCGTTTCGGTGTAGAAGAGATCCGACCAAGCAAACCAGCACCGATTGATCTGAAACTCGGTAAGAGTGACCTAAACCCTTAGATCTAGCAGTAGGAGAAAGCGGATCTGCAATCGGAGTTATAGATCAATAGTTATGATCAAATTCTCAACATTAATTTGTGTAGATCTAGATCTGACGGCAGTGGACTTCAAGGGGGATTTTCCGTCGACTCGGAACGAACCAGGAGACAATTTTCATCTCGTTGGAAAGCTCTCTGGATCAGCTTTCTATAACCGTCAAGATCGTTCCAATCCGACGTCTGAAAGTTATCGCAGGTTTTCTCTTTTGGCCAAAAACCCTAGTTTTCCATTCAACATTGTTAAAAAAAAAACCCTAGTTTTACTGAAAGCCTAATTGACTAATTCCAGAATGAATACCCTAGTTGCAATTATCTCCAATTTGAATTTAGAAATCCTAATTTCCAATTCAATTTCGGAAATATCATTCTAATTTGAAGACTTATTTAGGCTCCGATTGTTTAATACTATGACTCTTTGACTGTTGGCTTTTGGCTGGAGAGAATATCACTATAAGAACTGTGACTGTTACTTTATATATTTTTCAAAATTTGATTGGTAACAAAAAATTTTAAAACTGTAATTGTTATTTTAAATATTTATATTTTTTTTTTCATGGATTGAAAATATAGATAAAAATTAAGTTTTATTTCCTTTTATAGATATTTCTAACTTAAATATTTTTAGGCATTTAAAATCTATTTAAATCATTAAGATTTTTGTTTAATAATAATTTGTAACTATAAAAATATTAGAAAATGGATCTCAAAAGAATGAGAAAAAATATTAATTAATTAAATAGTCAAAATTGTAAAATGTTAATATTAATTTTGTACTAAAAAATAATTTTATATCTATTTGGAAAAAGAAGAAAGAATAAAAAGAATAAAAAAAAAAACAAAAACAAAAAAACTCATGTAATAAAGAGGAAGAGAGAGAAGAAAAGCCTTGAAAAATGATTTTTAAAAACAAAGAAGAAAAATAAATAAAAACTGTAAAAAAGATTTTCAAGACTGTAGAAAAATCTAAAGACCTCAAAACCTAGGCTCTGATTGGTAAAAACTTTAAGAACTTTGACTGTTAAAATTTTAGTTTAAAAGTCTGGCTGTAGAAATTGTAACTTTAAAATGAAAAATTGTGGCTTTTGAAAATATAAAAAGCCATGTTTTTGGCTTTTAAAAAAACTCAACGAACGAATGTGAAGAAAAAACTGAAGAAATGGCTTTGAGGATTTTTAGGAAGGAAGTTAAAAGACTTTCAAGGCTTTAAAACTTCTAAAGTCTGATTGGGTAATTTATGACTTTTAAGACTTTAGATTTTTTCTTCTAAAGTCCCTAAAGCTTTAAAAGCCAAAATGTCAATCAGTACCCTAATTGGCTAAAAACAAACTGTGAAAGTTGTTAAAAACCTAAAAATCCTCAAAGTCTGCATGCCAATCAGGCCTTTAGAATCCCTAACATAATTCTAATTTGAATATATATCTATTAGATTGCAGTAGGTAAAGTTCAATCATTTTGTTATAACTTTTTCATTTGTTAGACTTATAAAATGATATATATCCAATTCTAAGAAGCAGTTAGCCCGATCGAGTGAAAATCCCTCATATGTTTTCTGTGTAGTCATGGCTGAAAAAATGAAGGTGTATTCGATGAAGCTAGAGAATTTCAGATTTAGTTACGTGAACACTATTGATCCTCCGAAGAGAAGCCAACCTGACTACATGTACACGATAGCTTTGTTCAATGGATTTATTTGTTATATTAATTGCCTCACTGACATAGACGAGGAGGTAGGAAACATGTACTATGATCTGCAGATTTGGATAGTTAACCCTGATATGGGGGAGAGTCTTCTTCTTCCCCAAAGGAAGACACCCTCGTTTGGCTATGTGCTGAATGTTGGAGTAGCTTATCTCCGGAGCGACTACAAAGTCTTCCTCATCTTCTGTGCTGGTAAAGACTTGAAAGATTATCGTTTTGAGTGTGAGGTGTATTCGTCAAGCACTAGTTCTTGGAGAAACATCGGCACCATGCATTGTGTTCCCATGGGTATTCTTACTCCATTCAAATCTCATTATGTTTTCGTCGGAGGAAAGATCTATTGGCTGTCTTCCTTGGATGCTCCGGGCAAAATCCTCTCTCTGGATTGGGAAGGGAGATTCAAAGTGATTCCGTAGCCTGAGTATGATGCTGGTCTAAGACAACACAAATAATGAAAGACATCCTCGCAGAATGAAAAGATGAGACGCTTCAGTTATGTTGTCTTCTTCTCTTAGACCAGCATCATACTTAGGCAACAAAATCACTTTGAATCTCCCTTCCCAATCCACATAGAGGATTTCACCCAGAGCATCCAAGGAAGACAACTAGTAGATCTTTCCTCTGACAAAAACATGACGAGATTTGAATGGAGTTAGAATACCCATAGGGAACACAAGGCACAGTGTTGATATTTCTCCAAGAACCAGTGCTTGACAAATACACCTCACATTCAAAACGATACTCTTCCAAGTCTTTACTAGCACAGAAGATGCGGAAAACTTTGTAGTCGCTCCCGAGATAAGCTACTCCAACATTTGGCACAAAGTCAAACGAGGGTGTTTTCCCTTTGGGAAGAAGAACAGTCTCCCCCATACAAGTGTTAACTATCCAAATCTGCAGATCACATGACATTTTTCCTATCTCCTCGTCTTCGTCAGTGAGGCGATTAATACAACATATAAATCTATTGAAGGAAGCTATCGTGTACATGTAGTCAGGTTGACTTCTCTTGGGAGGATCAATTGTGTTCACGTAACTAAGTTTAAAACTCCCTGACTTCATCGAATACACCTTCATTTTTTCAACCATGACTGGACACACAACATATGAGGGATTCTCACTCGATGGAGCTAACTGCTTCTCAACGAAGTACGAATAAAGGTTTGTAACTTTGTACTTTCCAGGGTTATTTACGGACGTTGTTCTGGTGCTCATGCGGTTTGTGGAGGCTAAGAATAGAAATCTCTTGAGGATATTGATGTAGGAGATATTTTGGAGATTTTCTTAATTTTTTTTTTCTTTAATTATGTTTTTCCTTTTCAGTTTTGGATATTTTCAAGGGTTTTGTTTTCCTATATAAACACTTTTAAGTTGTAGCCATGAGGCATATCATATCTTATTATTCTAATTAATCAAAGCAGAGAACTTTTCTCTAATCTGGTGGATTTCCAGAGTTTTCTCTTCAAGTTCATGCTTGTGAACTTGAATTCAATCTAGGTTTAGTGCTTGCTATTCCTAGGATTTTCCGACTGCGTCAGATATGATACTCTTCTCATTGGTAATAAGAAGTTTCTTGACCCCCTTAATAATGTTGAATATTGCTTCATATATATAAGTAATGCAGCTGGGTTTTTCTGATAAAGTAACACAGCTGGTAAACGGCTTATATATTGTCATATCAATTTATGTTTGCTGGCTCGCATATGTTGAGTTATATAATTACAATGATATACTTGTATTGATATATATGAGCGTAGGATTATCTACACAACACAACTATACGATATGTGATTATTCATAATGATCAGCATCGGATTCATATCATGCGTTATGAAATACTCATCTAAAAACATAGATTAAGAAATTTCACTTGAATGATGTCTATTAGTGCCGTACATGTTGGTCAATCTGAGTCTCAACTAAATATAATATATGCATGGGCAACTTCATGCATGGCATGAGTTCGCATTTTGGTAATGATGCGAGCGCATACCAATAGTTTAGTTCACGTGTTTTCGCTTGTATTTCTCGACAACTTCTAAATCTACTTCTCCTAGATAATTAATTTGACTAATTTCACCATCACTCCATTTACTTTTCGCATCATTACTTTTAGCACTATTTTGACATATTTTTCTTTCTAAACAGTTTTTGTTTTGTATGCTTAGTGTTTCGCTCCAACAAAACAAAATAAAATATGGACGTGTTTTGACAAGGTATTAAATTTTACATTTGAAGCTGCCATGAATTTTATCCTAAATTTATGGTCTATCTTACTTGATCAGACTTCATTTATTCAATAAAGTATTTAGAGACCTAGAAACTAAACTCTTAAACCCTAAAAACTACACTCCTAAAATCTAAATACTTAACCCACCCAAATTCAAATATTTAAATTATAAAAACTCAGAAATTAGTCTGACACTTAGCCACAAAAAAAAACAATCTATACATAGATATGTGTTTGAAAATGGGTATACACTAAGAAAAAATAGGGAAAATTTCGATGATGAAGGTTGTTCAAAATTTTCCGATGCTTTTCACATAACTCCACGTAAACGAAAATTTTAATTGAAATTCGACGAAAAACCTTTATTGAGCTATCAAAACAAAACTCCTTCCATTTTTCAACTTCTTTCCGGACTGCATAACCAGTGGATTGATCTGGTTTCCTCTTCAGTTCAAACTTACATTATTTGAAACCTCATTTCCCTTTTTCTTCCCAGGTTTCGAGAAGTTTATCTTCCTTCCCTTTTTCTATGCTTTCTTTTAACGCAAGTTTCCCTCTTTCGAGTCTCTCATCAGAAGCTTGTCGGCCGTTCTTATCCAACCCACCTGAACCGGTATAAAGTATAGTGTGAGGGTCATGTGTTTCATCATTGTGATGTCCTGAAGTTATTACACTTGTAGCTAAAGGACCTTATACGCCGTCGTTAACCATCAAATAGTCAATGTTGCCGACCATTTGCATATGAAGTCCGCTTATGAACATTTCGCCCAGTAGTAACATATATCGCCAACTTGTACAACTTGTACACCAATTTGATTTCACGTTTTTTGAATCTAGCTGGCATAACCGACGTCTAACCGTATCGAACCATCAAAACCGAAACAGCTAGCTCCTGGTTTCCGATTTCCCCAATTGGCTTTGATTATTCCTGAGTCAAAATACGGACATGATAGAAGCACTTTGTTGTTGGGTTCATAACTTTTCATTTTCTTTGCACGTCAGTGAGTTTTTTTAACCCTTTGGTTGGCCACATCCTCTTTTGATCGGAGCAGTACGAGGACCAATATAAGCAGAGGAAGAGTCGTTGTGGAGCCATCATATGGTCCAATGGTTGGGAGTGGTATTACTATTTGAGGATAATATGTTGTTGTGTTGGGTGGTTTATCATTGCCATCATCAGATGATGTAACCGTTTGAAGCTGTGTGACCATTGGAGAAGGAGGTGTTGTTGTGCATGGTGGTTCACCATTGAGATCAATGGATATTAAAAATGGTGTGACCATTGGAGAATGAGGCATTGTGGTTTATCATTGAGATCAATGGTGTGACCATTCGAGAATGAGGCGTAGTTGTGTCTGGTGGTTCATCATTGAGATTAATGGACGCTGAAAATGGTGTGACCATTCAAAGCTCTAAAAGAGTTGGTGTTGATGTGTTTTCGGTCTACTTGTGAAACTAAGCAGGATTTTATTTTTTGCAACAATTTCAATTTCATTTTGGTTTTGATAATTTGTATACGGTTGACCCATGTGGCACAAGTGGTGGTCTAGCCTTATTTTATAATAATAATTTTAATGTTTCAATTATTACTTCTTCCAAGAATTTAATTGACACACAAGTAACTATTGAAGGAAAAACTATGTTTATGTCATTTGTTTATGGAAATCCAGTCCCAAAACAAAGATTATTTATGGGAAAAGTTAACCAGAATAGGTATTTCACAAAATGAGCCTTGGTTTTTGATAGGTGACTTTAACGAAATCACGGGAAATCACAGGGAGGTGCAATTCGGTATGCCTCAACATTTATGTCTTTTAATCTTATGATAGATGATTGCGGGCTACTAGATTTCCCAAATCATGGCAATAAATTATCATGGCGGGGAAGAGATGGGGAAAAATTGTACGGTGCCGGTTAGATAGGGCTTTGGCCATAGAAGATTGGCATGATTTTTTTCCTAAGTCACATGTGGAATATCTAAAAATGGTGGGATCGATCACCGGCCGATTCTGGCAACCATTGATAATAAGATCCCATAGGCACGGAGGCAATTCCGTTTTGATAAACGTTGGATTGGGCAAGAGGGATTCTCGGAAGCAATTAAACGAGGTTGGTTGGATAATCTAATTACTGCGGAACTAAATGTGGTGGACATGATCCGCAAATGCCGCACAAAATCTCCCGATGGCGGCACGAAAAAAACCATATGGAAAGGAAAAAATAGCGGAATTACAGAAAGCCTTAGAAGAAATTCAAAGTGATGATCTTCGAACCCAGGAGGATTAGATGAGATTACACAAAAATTGAAGGAAGCTTATAGAGATGAAGAACAATACTGGAAACAAAAAAGCCGTAACTCTGGCTTAAGGATGGGGATTTAAATACAAAATTTTATCACACAACCACGAAACAAAGAAGAGCGATAAATAGAATGGTCGGGCTACATGATAAAACGGATACCTGGGTTACAGGGGAAAAAGAGATGGAGAAGGTGGCGGTTGAATATTTCTCGGATTTGTTTACAACTACCTCTCTAGACGATTTCACGGACATACTAGATGGAATTCCGGCGGTGATCTCGGGGACAGATAATGCCTTCCTCACACGGCCAGCGTCGGAGGAGGAAGTGCGTGCACCTCTGTTCTTGATGAACCCTGAGAAAGCTCCAGGACCGGACGGGATGACGGCTTTGTTTTTCCGAAAATCATGGCCGTTAATCAAAAAGGATATTTTGGGTCTTATTAATGATTTTTTGACAAGGGATATTTTGACCCTTTTGAACTTTATCCTCAACCAAATTCTAATTTCCGATATGAAAATGCATAATCTGAGCAGTTTATTAACATTCGTAGCAAAAAAAAAAAAAATCTGAGCAGTTTAGTTAAATGCGCATAAATCAACTAAACTCATCCAAAATAAACAAAATTAAATATCTTTGACAATTGTATATTCAAATTGTATAATTATACTTACTAGGTTTAAAGCCCCGCGCAAGCGCGGGGTTGTTTGCGGTAATTTTTCTGTTTAGTTTTATCTTATTTTATATGTGCTGTTTAGTCCACATCAGCACAAAAACATTAAACAGTATTTAAAATATTTATTAAATGATTATTCATATTTCTTTACATTTATTCATATTTTAAATATAAATTAAAATATGAAAAATACACAAATAAGTTAATTAATTAATATATAAAACAAATGGAAAGAGTATTTAGAGTTAGAGTTTGTTTTTTAAAACAAATACAAGTCGAGTTTTTATAGGTAAATTTAATTGCAGATAAAAATATGAAAATTTTAAGGATTGTGATATGTTTGTTTCAAAAATATAATTTATATTTACAAAACTAACATAATAGAAAATAATCAATGGTCATGCATGAGCCTCACATTCTACCACAACAAAGTAGATAAAAAGTATACATATTATTTTGTTAATCTTATTTCGGGTGCAAATGCGATTTTACATTATGTTTACAAATTTTAATGTTGATTCAAATTTATATGCATGCTTATAGTCTAATAGAAGTAAACAAACTATGATGATTTTGTTGGTTTGAACTTTAAATTATGATGATTTTGTGTTAACTTTCATATTTTTGTTATGTTTTGAGTTAACCCAACCACTTACACTAAAAAATATGAACAATTTGTTTTTTATTTTATTTTATTAGGATATTAACACCTCACTTTATCTCGAATTATCTATTTCTAAAATTTTAGCATGTTATAAATATTATACTTGTTTACTTCTATTAGACTATAAACATGCATATAAATTTGAATCAACGTTAAAATTTGTAAACATAATGTAAAATCGCATTTGCACCCGAAATAAGATTAAAAAATAATATGTATACTTTTTATCTACTTTGTTGTGGTAGAATGTGAGCTCATGACCATTGATTATTTTCTATTATGTTAGTTTTGTAAATAAAATTATATTTTTGAAACAAACATATCACAATCCTTAAAATTTCATGTTTTTCTCTGCAATTAAATTTACCTATAAAAACTCGACTTCTATTTGTTTTAAAAAACAAACTCTAACTCTAATTTTTCATTAGCTTTCTATTATCTAAATTAATTTATATTCAATTTTTAACTTGTAAACACATTATAACATTTTTAAATAGGATAAATCCTTTGAATAAAAAGGTAAATATATACTATTTCAAGTTAAATATTTCTTTACTCCATCTTCATTTTATATTCCAACTTTTTGATAACTTTTAACATCAAGTTATCACATACTATATATTAATTAATTAATTTATTTGTGTATTTTTCTTACTTTTATTTATATTTAAAATATGAATAAATGTAAAGAAATATGAATAGTCATTTAATAAATATTTTAAATACAGTTTAATGTTTTTGTGCTGATGTGGACACTCTAGATGGAAAGAGGAACTCCCTAATTATATATCAGATGTATTTGGATATTTATTTATGAACGAAAATCGATTATCATACCTGAATTAGTTAATATATTCGATGCTTGTAGAGCTGAGGTATTCACATTCTGATGTGTTTCCTGCAGCTGATGCATCTTCAAAACTTGATGTTTAAAAAAAACGATAGAAATATATAAGGGTGAGTTGGTTTAATATTACTAAAAAATTTCATTTGAAAACTAACCCTGGTTTATAAAATTTTGAAAACTAACTTTTTTAATAAGTGAAAAGACAATAAAACCATGATCATTTTCCTATTAATAATGAGAAAAAAAATCTATTTAATTTAGATATATATAAGATATTTTTGAAAATTCGTTTAGATATTTTTTAATAAATATTTAAAATACACATGTTATTTTGAAAATATATTCATATTTATCATAAATATGAATCAAACTCTATAAATATATACACATAAATATCATTTTAGAATAAGAAAAACTCACACTTTATTCATATTTATTAAAAAAAATGATGGAATGTGTTAAAGTTAACTCATGTTCTATATTTATGAGATGTTAAATTTCAAATAAGATCTTCTATATATATTTTTGCTTTCTTGTTGTAAATTTTATTCGATTTTATGGAAATATCCCACACTGAGTTTTTTTTCTTTTTATTTTGTTATATAAAATAAAATAATTGTTTATAGTTATCTTCAGAATAACAGATTTTTTTTTTTTACAATTTAAATAATTTTTAAATAGATAAACGAATTTTAAAACAATTTTAATATCTAAAAATTAGAGGATATTTTAGTAATTTTGAATATTAGAAAGATTATTTTACCAACACTTTAAAAAGGGTTAGTTTTCAAAATATGATTAATTTAGGGGAAATTTCAAAACTACACCTCTTGAGAAGCCAATTTTCAAAAGTACACCTCTATAGTGCCAATTTTCAAAACTACACTTTTTTCATTTAGTAAAAGAACTCTAAACCCTAAATTATCAATCCAAAACCCTAAAATCTAACATTGAACCCTTAAATCTAAACCCTAATATAGGATTAGTGAACCCAAACATATATACTCCCTCTGTCCCACTATATAAGCTGTTTAAGGTAAAACACAAAAACCAAGACAATTAATTTTTAAAAGTAAAGTATTACTTAATATATAATAAAATATAACACAACCAATCATAGAAAAAAATTACAAAATATAATTGGACACACAACATTCAATAAATTAAAAAGTGCATTGGTTTTAGAACACAGCTTATAATTTGGGACAAATTTTTTTTCCAAAACAGCTTATAATATGGGACAGAGGGAGTATTAAAATTGGGGAAATGTGTATTTTTGAAAATTTCCACACTATAGGTGTAGTTTTGAAAATTTGCACCCCAAAAGGTGTATTTCATAAAATTTCTCATTAATTTATATAATATTGGTCCAAATTTCCTCAATACATAATTGTGGTGATAAATGACTGAAGAAAAAAAATTATGTATAAAAGGACATTTGTTATTTTAAAAGAAAAGAGATATGTTATAGATCTACATACGCTTTTGCGGTTTATGAAATGTGAGTTTCGAAAACCTTTAAAATATTGATGATAAGAGGTTATGGACAAAATTCTAGTATATTATTTAAATTTTATGTTAAAGAATTAATTACTTTTATATGATCTCAACAATAATTATTTTAATTTAATGATGTTCATCATACCCACAAAAGAAATACAAACATTTTTCTCTACTCTTCCATATATGTTCACTTCATACCCTGTAAGGATCGTACACAGTAAAAATAGTTTGTCGATCGAGAAAAACAGCAAGACTTGGCGGCGATAGAAATGGCGATTTCTCAGATCGGATCTCGACAATGAGTTTCCCTGGAATTTTATTGCTGATTTCGGGGTCACAACGAATCTATTAGTGTTCAAAGTATGGATCCATGGGGAGATCTCATCAAATCTCCTCGGATCGGGCTCTTTTATGCAAAATGGGAAGATCGGGAGTGTCTTCGCCTATGGAAACTAGATTCTCTCCACGAGAGATCCGGTACAGATCTCGGGGGATCGAAATAAATTTCGATCGGGTATATAGAAAGGTGGATCTTATCACCAGATTGCAAGGATCCATAGTTGTTAGCGATGGAAATGAATACGGATTATACGAGGCAATCACCTACTTCACGCTCGTACGAGTGGAGGAAGGGGGGGACAAAAAGGAAAGGGGGTTTTATCCCACAGAGAATGAAGGAAATAAAGATCTGAAGATTCATCTAGTTAATGGGATTATTTGGCGAAGGAAAGTTGTGGCAGGGGACTCGAGTAACAGACAGCTGAGATTCACGGAAATACAAGTGGGAGCGGATATCTTGAGATACCAATATCTCAATCGGATTACGGAAAATGGTTATGGGAAGAAGGCAGATGGAAAGTTCTGGGATCCCAATATCGTAATCGGATCTGGTGCGATTGAGGATACAAATTTTCACAGTGTATCTTTGGAGGTAATGGGAAGACTTCAATTTCAGTATATGGTTTTTGATTTCACGGGGATACAATATTCTAAAGCTTCCGAATATGGTAGTTCTGAACGGTGGGGAATCAATAACGATCTTCACAGATATGGACGGTTTAGCGAATCTGTTTGCAGTATAAATACTTGGAAGGGTTGTGAGATCGTAAACACACACTCAGTTTTTACACCTTACATCTCACAAGTTCTTTTCTGGTCTTTCTTTGGTTACTGGTGGGAGAGCGGTGGAGATATGTCGCAATCGGGTTTGATTAAGGCTGGAGGTTCGAACAAAGGCAAGGACACTCTGAAGCCAAGGTTGAAGATCACAGTGCCAAAGTTTGACAATTCCGTGCTTATCAAGGGATACTCAAAAACCCTGATTGGCCGGTGCATGAACCCACAAAAGCAGGAGATGAAGAACCTGCTATTCATGCTCCCTCGCATCTGGCATGTAGAGGGGAAGGTAGCAGCAGCGGATCTGGGGCTTGGAAGGTTTCAGATCGACTTTGACGAGGAAGGAGATATCCTTGAAGTCTTGAAGATGGGACCTTTCCACTTCGACTATTGGATGCTCTCGGTGGTCCAGTGGGAACCGGTGATGGATCCCAACTATCCTTGCAAGATCACGTTTTGGGTGAGAGCCCTTGGAGTCCCTCTCCAATATTGGGCAAGTGATACTTTCATGAGCATTGGGGACGCCCTGGGGGAAGCAAAGCTGGTGGATATTGATGGTGGCAGAGTCCAGGTCGTGATGAATGGCTTCACGCCGCTAGTTTTTGAGACGATGATAGGTTTCGATGATGGAAAGGAGGAGGCAACGATCACGCTGAAATATGAACGCCTATACGGCTTCTGTAAGGAGTGCTTCAGTCTCTGCCACGATGTTGAGCATTGCCCGCTATTACGGGCACAGAGGGAAGAGAAGGAACGGCAGGAACGGATTGAAAGGGAGAAACAGAGGCGCAGGGAGGAGAAACCTGATTTTGGATCCATGAGTTACGAAGGTGTGGTGATCAATGGTGCAAGAGAGGGGGAGGAGGGGCGACGAAACAACAATAGGTCCGGTGATTATAAGGGAAAGGGCAAGGGGAAGGTGGTGGAGGCCAGAGAGGACAGAGTCCACAAGTTTCCCGAGCATCGGAGTCATCCGAAGCTGGAGGGTGAAGGGTCCTCTTCTCGCGTGATGCCACCAGAACCTAAGCGATATGGGGGAGTCATGAGAGGGATCTCGCGAGGAGGAGATGCAGTGCACAAGGGGCGTACTACTGGACAGTGGCGGGAAAAAAAGAATGAGGCGGGAACTGTGGAGGTTGATCAACCGGATCAGCTTTCTGCAAAGAAAACGAGAACGAGGGAGGATCCACAAACCCAAAATGGATCCGGGGGACAGCTACAGTCCGGAAAGAAGGTACGGAAGTCTTTAAAGTTTGATGATGAGGAAAATGATCTCAAAGCTCCGGGAGAGAGTAGTGAGATTGTGGTGCAGGAGCCAATGCGGCAGCTAAGTCCGGAGCCTCCAGCGGAAGTACCACAGAAAGTAATGGAGGGGATCCATGTGGAAGAGAAGGACACACAGGAACGTCTCACGGTGGAGGAGCCTCCAGAATTATCTGCTGAGGTTGGAGATGTGACCCTCGATGATGGGGATCTAGAGAATAGCTGGGGACTGAATGCAGATCTCTTAGGCGAGGAGCTTGACTTGGATGAGGAGGAAGGGGAGAACGAAGAGGTTGCCACGTACATGCAGGTTGATGTTAGCGAGGAGCCAGAGGTGCGAGTGGAGGCTCCACACCAGAATGATGATACTGATCCCAAGAGTGGGGCTCAAGGTCAGGCTTTTCCGGGGAAGAAACCAGGCATGAAGAAGAAGGTTCCGCGCCAAACCGTGGGACTTGGGCAGGGGCTACGGCGACGTCTGGCTCCACCAACCAAGACTCCTCGGAAGAAAGCGCCTGTTAAGGTGATGAACCGGCCAGGAAAGAAACCTGAACGGAAGGCGGACGACAAGGATCCACCGGAGGGTTCGGGACCAGATAATCTCGCGGTTTAATGAAGGGATCTCGATGGAATAATACACGCCTCTGTGGATGGCGTACAATAAGTTGTCTCCATATTGGGTCAAAGTGGTGGTTTTTCAGTTTGATGTTATTTGTTTTGGTTGTGATTTTTTTAAGTTTTTGTTGGAAAGATCCGTGTGGCACATGTGGCGATCTTTCTTTCTATGAGAATAAAGGATATGTTTTTTTGAAGGTTATCACGTTTATTTCTCGTTCCGATGGTTTAAAGAGTTGGCTTTATCGGTTTAAGCACACATTACAGCGGTCCATTGTGACATTTAGGTTTTATCATCAGAGTCAACTACCTCTGCTGTTTGGGATGGGCTGTCCACGATGTGAATGGGCCCTGGAATCAATGTTAAAAAACATGTTATTGTCAAACGAGTATGATTGGTTAAGAAACATTTCTCTGGTTGCCAAGTATTGTTGGGTTTGCAAAAGTACGAGGGTATGTTGGGCCCACTTACATGTGAGAATTATTTCTCATAATGACATTTCACAGTGGGTAAGACGAAATCAGAAGTCAAAAAAGTGGTTCTTTTGGGGTGGGCCAAATCACTCAGGAGATGGGCTTCGTGCTCGAAGGGGAACAATATGGAACATGACACGACGGGAAAAGGGAGTTTTGGCAGTCTATACGGGTCAGATAGATGTCTCTCACAGGTGGTGTCCACAACCGAGTGGAGGCGGGTCTTGCTACGGGATGCAAGTTTGGATAGTAAAAAAGTGTTTGCGATATGCGGATACTTAGTTGGAATTGTCAGGGATTGGGGAACCAGTTCACAATTAGTTAACTTAGGGAAATTTGGGGGAACTTTAAACCTGATTTTCTATTCCTTTCTGAAACAAAACAGTCATACAGTTTTGTTCAACAATTTCAGTTCCATTTTGGATATGATAGGTTGTTCACGGTGGACCCATGTGGTGCAAGTGGGGGCCTAGCTCTTTTTTTCAGGAATGACTACGATGTCAATATTATCTACTCGAGTAAACGGATCATTGATGTGGAGGCTAGTCATGAAGGGAAAACAATTTTTATGTCATTCGTATATGGGGACCCAGTGGTTAAAATGCGAGACTATGTGTGGGAACGAATTTCCCGAATCGGAACATCACAAACGGAACCGTGGTTTCTCATAGGAGATTTTAATGAGATTACAGGAAATCATGAGAAGAAAGGAGGCAACTTCGCCAGGCCTCATCTTATCCCTTTAATTTGATGATAAGTGATTGTGGATTTGTGGATTTTTCAAGTCGGGGTAACAAACTCTCATGGAAAGGTAGACGAAGTGGGAAATTAGTGAGGTGTCGTTTGGACAGAGCACTAGCTACAGAAGAGTGGCATGATTTGTTTCCTTTTTCTCATGTGGAATATTTAGCAATGATTGGTTCTGACCACCGACCAATAGTGGCTACTTAGATACAAAGATTCCAAGAGGAGGAAGCAGTTCCGGTTTGACAAACGGTGGATTGGATTGGATGGTTTTAGATTCTATAGACAAAGGGTGGAAAATTCGGGGAGCGGAAACCGCCGAATCTAGTTGAGAGAATACAGCAGTGTCGTCATGAAATTTCAGTGTGGAGGAAAAATAACCAACCATATGGAAAAGGAGAAAATCGCGGAGCTACAGGCTGCACTGGAAGCCTCCAGGAGGATGACCATAGTACCCAGGAAGAACTGCGATAACTAATAAATAAAGGAGGCATATCGAGATGAGGAAAGTTATTGGAAACAGAAAAGTCGAAACATGTGGTTAAAAGATGGGGATTTAAATACAAAGTTTTTTCATGCTTCTACAAAACAGCGAGCGGTTAACCGCATAGTGGGTTTACATAATGATGCAAATGTCTGGGTAGCTGGAGAAAATGAGGTTGAAAAAGTGGCAGTTCCTATTTTGACAATCTTTTTACTTCCATTTCGCCAACAGACTTTACGGGTATTCTCAGTCATGTGACAGAGAGAGTCACGGCAACAGAGAACGAGGTTTTGACTCGGTGTGCGACAGAAACAGAGTACGGATGCACTTTTTATGATGCATCCAGAAAAGCACTTGGACCAGATGGTATGACAGCTCTATTTTCAACGATCATGGCACATTGTTAAGGAGGATTATTACGATGGTGAACGATTTTCTGATCTCCGGTTTTTTGATGAAAGACTAAATATGACCAATATTTGTCTTATCCCAAAATCGGAACGACCTACCAGGATGACGGAACTTAGGCCAATAAGTTTGTGTAATGTGGTTATAAGATTATCTCGAAGGTTCTCTGCCAGAGGCTAAAGGTGCTCCTACCAAGATTGATTTCGGAGACCCAATCTGCGTTTGTACCAGGTCGCCTATCTCTGATAACATCTTGTTGATAGCTCAGGAGATGTTTCATGGGCTGAGGACAAATAAATCATGTAAAGGGAAGTATATGGCAGTGAAGACATAATGAGCAAGGCTTATGATCGGGTTGAATGGCCTTTCATAGAGGCTTTGATGCGGAAAATGGGATTTGCTGAGAAGTGGATCACATGGATGATGAGGTGCATCACCTCGGTAAAATATAAAGTTTGATTAATGGAAAGCCCAAGGGGAGAAATAATACCACACAGGGGACTTAGACAAGGGGATCCACTTCCCCTTACTGTTTATCCTTTGTACGGAGATTCTGATCACAAATCTTAAGAAAGCAGAGGATTTGAAGGAAATTACAGGGCTTAAAGTGGCTCGGAGTCCAGCGATTTCTCATTTACTATTTGCAGATGAAGTCTTTTCTTCTGCAAGGCCAATGCTGATGAGAGTCGGGTTGCTGAGACTGTTAAGGAGTATGAGGGAGCTTCTGGGCAACAAATTAATTTTGCTAAGTCCTCGATACAGTTCGGACATACGGTGGATGCAGGGGTAAAGGAGGAAATTCACCAGATTCTGGGGATTGAGAAAATTGGGGGAGTGGGGACATATCTAGGTATACCAGAGAGTTTAGGGGGGCTAAGACAAAGATATTCAGTTTTCTTATAGACAGACAGCAAAAGAAGATAAATGGATGGAACTCAAAATGGTTGTCAAAGGGGGCAAGGAGGTTCTTATAAAATCGGTGGTTCGACAATGCCTATGCATGTGATGTCCTGCTTTCGATTGCCTAAAGGAGTTACTAATAAGTTATCTAGTGCGGTATCAAATTTCTGGTGGAGTAACAATGGGCAAACGAGAGGGATGCATTGGTTGGCTTGGAAAACTCTGTCGTCATAAGAGCGACGGAGGCTTGGGTTTTAGGGTTCTTGAGGATTTTAACACAGGTTGTTGGCAAAACAACTTGGCGTCTGATGGATAATCCAGAATCGCTTTTTTCACGGGTCTTTAAAGGACGTTATTACCGGAATGCCACTCCTTTGGACCCCATCAAATCCTACTCTCCTTCCTATGGGTGGCAGAGTATTGTATCGGCTCGACCTCTGGTTAACAAAGGGCTTATCAAAAGAGTTGGTTCGGGATCGTCTATCTCAGTTTGGGATGATCCTTGGATTCCAGCATCTCGCCCGAGGTCAGCAAAAGGAAACGGGATACATTTTTACCCGCACCTCCGCGTGCGGGATATTATGACACCCGAAAATCAACGTGGAATCTTCCACTATTAAAACAACTTTTTGACGAGACGGATGTATCCCTTATAATGGGGATTCCAACCTCACAGCGGATAGACCGGACTCGTGGGGATGGTTTATACGAAGACAGGGCGATACACGTCAAATCAGGGTATACGATTGCCCAAGAAGCTATGGAGGCTGACAACATGATACAGTTTGGTCCAGACGTGCGTCGTCTTCAGGCACAAGCATGGAAAATTCCTTGCACCCAAAAACTTCAACATTTCCTATGGCAAATCTTAACGGGGTGTATATCAGTGGGAGCACGTTAAGGAGTCGTGGTATACAGACAGATCCACAATGTATGCGCTGTGGTATGGCGGCGGAAACGATTAACCATATGGTTTTGAATGTCCTCCGGCCTTACAGGTTTGGGCTTATCCCCAATCCCAACAGCTGTCAACCGGTTTCCAACAGAAGGTCTCTTCACGAATATGGCACACCTATTCTGGAATTTACCGGACGATGATAGGATGAGGATGTATCCTTGGTTAATTTGGTTCATATGGAAAGCCCGTAATGATAAGGTTTTCTCTAACGGGGATTGGGACCCATATGAGATCATCAATCATGCGGCGGCAGAGGCATCGGCATGGGCTAGCTCAGACACGTCAGGGCGCCGTAGGGCTGCCCGGCATACGGTGAACTCAGGTTTTCGGGGGGATCGATGCCAGGTAGATGGCGCATGGAAAGAAACGGACCCTCGAGCGGGATTAGGATGGTACAATTACAATATGGAGACAGGGGAAGTACTCTTGGGAACATGTAATCTGTGGAGGGGAGTTTCTTCTCTCCAAACAGAGGTGGAGGCCCTGTTATGGGCAATGCAATGTATGTTACGTCACAACAAGCTTGTAATGGTATTTGAAACAGATTGCTCCGACGTGGTACAGATGGTTCTAAACCAGAGGAGTGGCCAGTTTTTGCGGTACTATTGAAGAAATAGATATTTGCAGAAGACGTTTTTCTTCGTTCTCCATCACGCAGGTCCACGAACAAACAACACGAAGGCAGACAAGTTAGCACGGAGTGCTCGAGCTCTACCTACTAGTGTGTATTATGTAAACTCTGTTCTCCAACTTGGATTTCTGAGTTGTAGAAACAGAGGCTGTTGACAAAAAAAAAAACAAACCACTTCGTACACTTTTTTGGTGATTAATCAAGAGACTTTTACCTCTATTAGTTGTTTTATTTTCTTCTACAACATTTTACACACACTGGTAGCCTTTTTAATTTGGTTAACAAAGACATACATCTTTCAAATGTAATAACGTTTTGAAAGAAAAAGAAAACATCGTTGGTAAATAAACATATAAAGTTATATGAATTATATCTCATACTTTGATGATCATCAAAACTCTCCACATATCATCACGCTCATGACTCATGAGATTGATTTCTCTGAAACTTATTGAACTAGTCAGCAGCTGAAGCTTTTGATTTGGCCAGCCCAATTACTGAAACATCAGCTTCACCAACTACTCAGCTACTCAATCTTCGATTTTGTCCAGTTTTATTTCCTCATCCCCAAGAAACAACCCAAGATTTTTACTTTTATTTTATTTTATTTTATTGTCATCAGATTTCAGGTTTTTCAAATCAAACAAATCTTGATAATCATGAAGCTAAAACCTAAAGAAAACCTAAATCCCGAAACAAAACTCAGCAAATGTTCAATGTAGATGGTAGCCAAATGCAAGTGACTTGAACCTTATATTGGACATCTTATAAGAAGAATCAAAGATCAAGGCAAAATAACATTTGAGTATATAAGCAGACCGAACCTAATTATTATTACTATCATCCCGCCGGTTCAGGTAAACCAAATAATTTAATTTTGTGTCCGGTTTACTAAATTGGTGTCCAGACTCCAGAGTCGGTCGAATATAGGGTTTTAGAAAAGGTTTTCTCTGTCCGTCGTTGTTCCTCTGCAACCCAAACCAAATTACGGCGGCGAAGAAATGCCTCGAATCATCACAAACGAGACCTACGGTTGCCCTCCGATACGTGCTTTAACCTTTGATTCTCTCGGCTTAATCAAAGGTTCCCACTTTTATCTCTCTCTCCCTCTTTCTTAAGCTTGGTGGAATCATATTTCAAGTGTTAATTTTCAAATTCGATGTGCAGTGACTGAAGCTCGAGGTAAAGAGAGAGGAACTCCGACCGTAGTGAACACATGGGGCGAGATGAATGCGAACAGAAGCGTTATTGCCGCTTCCATGGATGACCGGCTAGATAATCCGGTAAAAAAAAAGTTTCTTTCTTTTATGTTTATGCAATCTATGTTTCGAAGCTAGGTCTGGATTCGGAATCATAATCAGTTTCAGCTTGGTTTTTATACTGTTGAAATTAGCTGATTTGTAAGAAGAAAAAAATGGATGTTCTTTATCTTATAGATTCTTGATCCTGAGCTAATTTGAACTAAATTTGAGGTTTCCATTGTATTCCTTTTGTATGTTATTATCATTTCTTTTTGCAACTATGAATCATAATCTCTTAGGTTTTTTTTTGTCACTTGTGTTATAGCTGATCTCTACTTCTTTAAAAACGCCTTACTTTGTGATTTCTACTGTGAAAATATGATTTTAGAGCTTCTTAACACGTCTTTGAGTCAATTTGTTAAACTCATCAGTTTTTTTTCGTCTTCTAAATGCAGCTTTTGGCTGTGGCAAGAAAAGATGGCAAAGTAAGTTTTCTTTACTCCTAAGCTATGTGTAATTTATTTCTTCTCTCCACAGAGCTAATGTTAACACAATCCTTTCATGTCATTTCCACAGATTGAGGTTCTTAATCCTTGTACTGGTGATCTTCACTTTTCATACTCTGCATTTGGTGATGACGGTTGCTCTCCTGAGGATAACGAAGTCTCTGGCCTTCACTTATTCAGGAAACAAATAGACGATCAGGCAGAAAGGTATGTATAACTTTGCACTGAAACCATTTCTTTTGTTCTGTATGCTCAATTGCCATTTACGTTTCTCAACAAAACTTGCTTGTTGTTTAGATCTTGCACATTGCTTACATGCACGAAAAAGGGAGATGTGAGCCTCAGATCAGTTAAATTTCCCGCTGATTCCACGGATGAAGCTGCTGCTCCCAAAACTTGGAAAGCATGTGGTACCGGTGAACTTTTGTTTGGTAAAGTGGATGGCAGCGAAAACTTCGGCTTGTTTGGAGGGTTAGTACTCACTAGTAGTTACAAAACTGAATTCCTTTTGCTTAGCTCGAAGGATCATTTTGTGAAATGTTTAATTCAGGAAACGTGTTGAAGCCAATATATGGGATCTTGAACAATGTACCAAGATATGGAGCGCGAAATCAGTGAGCTTCGTTTCTCTTTCAAAGCCTCTCAAGTCTTTTAATGTCTCTTCTTCTAAGTTTGTAACCAATCTCTGTTTGGTGTGCAGCCCCCTAAAGACAGTCTTGGGATCTTCACGCCGACCTGGTTCACTTGTGCTGCATTCTTGAGCAATGAAGATCACCGGAAATTTGTCACGGGAACCAAATCTCACCAGGTTTGTCCCTTTTGGAGCCATTCTTGAGTGTAATCGCTTTGTCAAGATGACTTACATTATTCTCTTTTTCTGGAGACAGGTTCGTCTTTATGATGCTTCTGCTCAACGTAGACCGGTCCTGTCCTTTGATTTCCATGAGACAGCCGTTACAGCAATCTGTGAAGATCCAGATGGTCATACTATCTACGTCGGGAATGCTTCTGCTGACCTAGCTGCCTATGATATACGAACAGGAAAACTGTTGGGAAGCTTCTTAGGGAAGTGTAGTGGAAGCATAAGATCTGTGGTTAGACATCCACGTCATCAAGTGATTGCATCTTGTGGTAAAGATTCATTGTCACATAAACTTCAACATCTATATGTGTTTTCAAACGATCTCATTTGTGTGTTGTTGTTTTGTTGAATTGGTTCAGGGTTAGACCGATATCTACGGGTTTATGACGTGAAGACACGCCAGCTCATCTCTGCTGTATGTTCTTGGAGATGGAGACTTGATGTTTTTTTCTCTCTGAGAAGTAGACTCTAATTCATTGCTTTTGTTGCAGGTTTTCTTGAAGCAGCATCTTACAGGTCTTGTATTCGACTCTGGCTTTAGTGGAGAAGGTTAGTTTTTCTCATGGCGTTGAGATATCACATTATAGTTTTGTATTCTTCCGTTAGTAAGATGATTGGCTTTATGATGGAAGCAGAGACGGCTGTAGCAAACACAGTGGTTGATGATGATGCAACAGAGGAGAACATGACGATCATGGAGCAGGAAGATGATGAGGAGGATGAGGAGGAGCAAGAAGATGAAGCAGAGAAGGCTCCTGTGAAGAAAAAGAAGTCAAAGAAGGAGAAACGCAGTAGAAAAAAGGTCCAGGAAGATGATGATGACGAGGAAGAGAAAGAAGATGAAACAGAGGAGGCTCCTGTGAAGAAAAAGAAGTCAAAGAAAGAGAAACGCAGTAGAGAAAAAGTCTCAGAAGGTGAAGAGACAGACGAGGTTAGAAGCAGCAAGAAGACACGAGAGCACAAGAAGAAAACCAAGAAAGTGAAACACAATCAAGAAGACTAGTTTATTAAGTTATTGAAAGACATTTATTTGTGCAGCCTTTGCTGTAATCTGAGCTACAGTTTTGAACAAACAAAAGAAAGAGAGTTTTTGTTATTTGCTATAAAGACTATTTATTGATAAAACGGGACTCTCTTCTTCGACCATCACGTGAACCACTACATGTACCACAGTTTATGTATGTATACATGTGTAGACAAGAGCAAGTTTGTCGCCTTACATATGACTTGGGCAAAGGCTCGGGTTGCTTTAGTCCTTTGGTTGACAAGGCAAGTGTGGGAAAAGCTTGAAAGAACACGTTTGACTATTGGAGTTGTTAGTGTAATTCCATCATGTATTAAAGTATAAAACGGACTCTCTGCTTGTCTTGTCAACCGAACTTGAGACTGTCAAACTCGCCGCCGGTAAAAGGATATAAATTGCTTCATATCTTTAAATATGTTTTCTTGTTCAAAAATGAAAATATATTTCAGTCCTCTTGTTTAAAACTTTCCAAGATCAAGAGTCACAATGAAACTTATACTTAGCTCAAACGATATGGCCAAACACTTGTGTACAAATACTCTATTATCTTTGGAAGCAAGTGAGTATAGGATATGGTGAAACACTAAAATTGGTCTTATAATGAAGATGTAATATAAATCATCAATTTGGTTTTGTTTTCAATACTTGTTTGTTATACCTATGGTTAGGATATTTTAAGCTCATAATGAACAAACAAAATTACATTTCTATGCATATACAAATGTAAAAACTAAAATTAGTAACGGGATAAACATTTGAGTGAGTGTTGTGTTAGGTAACTCCACAAGACAAGCCGAGTGACAAAGATCAAGCTCAATGTATGCTAACACACTTTGCCTGATCAAGAAAGTAAAACACAATCAAGAAGCCTAGTTTAAGTTTTCGAAAGACATTATTGTGTACCCTCTGCTCTAATCTGAGAGAGTTTGTTTGTTTGCTAAAAAGACTAGTTATTCATTAAACGGAGCCTCTTTTCTTCGACCAACACGTTCTCGGGAAAGTTACAATGTGCAATAAAAAAAAACTAAAAAACAAAGTTTTTAAACAACAATCCTGCATCATTGAACTCGTTGTTAGATTGTAACAAGAGGGAGGAAAAACCCAAATATTAACCACCGTGTCTCTCTTTTCTAAGGTCGTCGTAATCGTTGTAACTTGCTGGTTTTTGATACTGTTGCAAAATTCGACTGGTTCTGCTCAAGCCGGAAGCTTAAGTTTGGTGTTGGTTTTCCAGCTAAAACGAATTTTTAAAAATGGATCCAAAGTCAGTGGATGATCACTATATGGTTATAAAAAGGTTACAGATAAAATCATCAGACTTGTGAGGTTTCTTTACCTTAAGTAGTAGTAGTAGAAGAAATCTGCGTAGAGAGCTGTTTGGATGAGACCAGAGACACAAGCTGGAGAAAAAAATGCAAATTATGTAAAACATTAGCAATGAGGAAAAACTAATTTGGTGCTTCTCTGTTGAAACATTGATTACCGATCCATCTAGTGAAATGATCTTCTGTGAAATAGCGATAGATCCAGTTGATGATATATAATCCACGATAGGCCCTGCAAAGTTAATCATTTCCTATGTCAATGCAATTTCCAGCATGGTAAGAACCAAAATGCATAGCAAGTATAAACACGTTAAAGACAATATGGACCAAGTAAGCAAAACGCATATGTGTGGAGAGAATCACGTACCCGAGAAAGAGAACATACTGTCCAGTCAAATTGTCCACATTCCCACTTCTCTGTAGCAGAACCAACTGGGGAAGGATTGCAACTGCCTCCAAGTAAATAGAAAACGCCCAGAATATCTGCAATGGTTTCGAATTCATAGAGACTTAACATATTTCATAGCAATTCTGGAAACACTGCTGCAAAACTGCTTAAGAATACAGCTCGGAGTGAAGGCAGTTGCAAAGACGAAAGTTTTACCAGAAGCATAAGAGAAACTAAAATTGCATTAGATCAAAGAACAGTTTGACCAGAAAAGCAGCAGCGAGATACTGATGACATTAATCTATAGACATCATATGGATCACGGGCAATGAGGGCAAAGTGGTTTCCGTCAATTGAAGCAAACAGACCTCTAACGATGCCCAACAGTTTCATATTCAAAGAATTTCCTAAAACAAAGAGCGAGACACTGAGATGTTGCACGGGTATTACAAAGTGTAAACAACCTTTAGCACCAACTACAACAAAGTTTCATGTAACACTATAAACCCAGACCCCAAATCGGTTCTGAAGGAGTTATGATCAATTCAAGAACTAACATTATCCATCGTAGTTACCACGCACATATGAAGAACAGCCATAGCTATGTGTGCTTTATAACGAATGAACAAAAAAGAAGACTACATAACATAAAGGATCAAGCTACACTACCATACAACGGAACCATGCTTCATACTAGCTGTTTCCAAGAAGTATTCGTTTCCCTAGCATATAAAAGCATGTGAAATTTATACGAAAATACCTCTTGAAATGTGAATCTCTCATGCAGGACAAGCCCCAAAACAAAGCATGCTAACACAACGTATTGATGACGAAATGTGTCCAGGTCCTTATCGTATGATCTCCGCACAAGTGGATGCCTACGCATACACCAAACAATTGCCAAAGAGCTGCCGATGAAGACAATCTTCATCACGCTGTTGTAGAGAGAGACGTAATCCGTGAGCAGATCCAAGTACCGAGTCAAGAACACTAGCGCGTACAGCTCTTGAGTCTTGAGAGAGATTCCTAGCAAACAAATGCAAAGTCAACACAAGGAATTGTTAGAATTATGTGAGACAGTCATGAGCAACAACGAACATTTCTACTCCCTAAATCACTATCTCGATTCCTTTCTCTACTCGCATTCTTCCATTAAACCGAATCTAGATTAGAGAAAGATCTCCTTGTTTAGAAACTCCCCTTCTCGTTTCAGTTTTCTAAGATTGAGATTTAACCACTACTTTGACTTGAAATCGCAAACTACAAACTCGGATTCGCATGGAAATCGATCGTAGAAAAGCTCAATCGATTTGCATTTGGAAGCTATGGAAACGGAAAACAAACGGTCAATCAAAGCAATGCGACTGTTTGCGAGAGCTCGTCTTACGAAATACGCAACATATTTCAGGAAAAGAGAACTCACCAGCGCAGGATTTGGTCGCGTAAATTTTGAGAAGAAGGATTAAGATACTGATCAAGTGAGTCATATCGCCGGCAAATCTAAATATATTCATGGTTGACCAGACGACGGCGGAGACTCAGACGTTACCAGAAATTTTCCGGGAATCCAGAAAAAGGAAAAAGAAATCGCCCGATTTTCTCTCTTCCAAATCGAGAGAGAGAGAGAGAGAGAGAGAAATGGTGCACGTTTCAGGTTTTGGTGAAAACACCAGAAATTCGTTCCGAGGAGACGATGACGTGGCAATCTGGAACGGTCTCCTGTGTCCAACTTCTGTAACGTGGGCTCACCTATATTTCTTAATACTGTAAATTAGTCCTTCATTATTCAATTAATTGTTAATTAGTTCCTAAATTAGAGATAAATAATTACTAAAAGATGCTTTTCATATTTTGAATTTTTTGATTGTGGAGAGGTGGTGTTATGAGGTATGTCGCACCTACAGTAAAGTAGAATACGCTAGCTTTTTGTGGGTCTATATTGCATCGAGTTAAGACACGTGTCAGTCAACGTCGTGATGTGGCTGCTTCAAAACGCGACGTGGTGCGCTAACATACTTTTTTTTAATATATAAAAAAAAAAGTTAGACTGACTCGGTTAGATAAATGGACCGGTTAATACGTGTTTATTAACGGATATGGGCCTTTAGCCTTATGTTTGATTATTAAATATGGAGTTTAGCTAATGGTGCCAAAATTCATCATAGTCCATTATTGTATTTTAATAATTCGATGTACAGTATATATGTATATATTTTTATGTTATCCATAATGACACGAAAAAAAACAAATTTTGTATGCGCGGATGCGTATTTTACATACATAGTCAAACATATTTTCAACTTTATTTTGGTTTTTAATTTCTTTTGAATGGTGTAGTTTTGTTATGGGACAAGCAAAAATTTATAGTCATCATACTTGAAAAAAAATTAAAAGAGTAAGCAATTAAACAAAGATAATATGACTGAACTAAAATTTTAGAACCACTAATAAGTAATATTTATAACACTTTAATAATAGCGTCTATGACCAAATTAGGGTGACTAGCCACTGAGTTTATTTTCTAAACAGTGTAATAGATTAATAGTCAATGTAAGATCATAGCCGTTTACTTTTTATATTGCAAATTCCCTCTTAATTTTATGTAACGTGTGCAATTAAAAATAGAAAACACATCACGTGATACACTGCAACTACGACAATCGACGAAATCGCCGCTTTTGCAAATTCATGTTGTGATAATTATTAAAGCAGTTCAGACATGAGGTTTTAATTTTTAAAGGCTAACAAATTATAATGGAGACAGTTTTGTGTAAGAAAACGAAGTTCGATTTTTTTTTCATGTAGAATGAAATCAATGAATGATATAGTATTATATTGATATTGCATTGAGAAAGATTACAGATGTGAAACGCCAACCAACCAAACAAAACAGTTGTTACATTTATCTGTAACACATTTTTATAAACCAAATCCTTAGTGCTTTAAACAACAATGTGAACAAATATTTAAACAAAAAGTTGAAAATTCTATATATGTTTGACACTATCAAGAACTAAACTTGGTTTGATACTTTGATTATAGAGAAATAAAATTTCGTTTTTCACATTTTTCTCACATTATATTTACTTTTCTCCACACAACTTCATTGATACGTTGCACTGGAGGATACTTTTTAAACAAAAAATGTCGTCAGCTCAGAACCCAAAGAGACTGCACGAATTAGTTACGTAGGCGGACAAATTATATGGGATCTGAGATCTAATTTGTTTTTTTTCATTCAAACTGCTCCAAAAATTCAAATATATGGGATAATACTAAAATCACGAATTCGATGAATCCAGATCCGAGTAACTAAAATTTTAGAGTTAGATATCCGAATTCGATTGAGATTAAAATATCTAGGATTTAAGTATACCAGAACCCTAATATATCAAAATCTGGATCTCCTAAAAAAAGTCTGATATCTGATATGTGCGTAGGTCTACTATAGCCAGTTTTCTTTCCATTGGAAAATACTACTACAATTCTAGACCATGCACCTCTGATTGATTATATTTGGAACGTCTATCTTAAAAAATTCTTTCGTTTTGTTTTGTTTGTATCGCTAATTGTTTACTTACTGGCCAGCCTAATTTTATTCTATTAGGTGGAAATCCAACTTCATTTAACTAAAGATATCAACCAATTAAATGGCTGATGCCATTGACCTATAATGTAGTTTTAAGTCGGATCACGAATTTTCTTTTGTCGTACTAACCAGCGAGTCTATCAATAATGTCATAATTAAGGAGATTTTTCACCAAAAAAAATAATTAAGGAGATTTTGTATGTCGTCGACAATTATGGAGTATAATAAGTATGTGTCGTGTGTTCAAAGTTCAAACAATGTGTCGTGTGTTCTATGGTTTACCAGTTGGTCAAACAAAACTAAAATAAGGGGGTAATCTAGAGTATACAAAAATTAAATAACATCGAATCTAATGACAAGAAAGAATACAAAGAAAATACATTGATAAACGAGACTCGTAAATTTTTGGCAGAAGACAAGACATAATTAATTGTGAATAATTAAATTAATATTTGTATTTTTCCGATGTTAATTAAAGATTCTTTTATGGATTAGATTTTCTTTTTTGATTTGTTGTAAAACCAGAATAATCGAATGGACAGAAAATGGATTCTATCCGTTACATTCCAGAGTATTGACTTTTACTGAAACCTTTCGCTGGAGAAAACTTTCTTAGAGAGAGAAAGATAAAAATCTGACAACGAAGAAAACAAAGTGTGAGAAAATTCTGAGCCTTTCTTTTATACGCGTTTCTTCTTCTTCTTCTTCCTTTGCCCTCTCTTTCCCAGAAAGTATCATCAAACCCCTTTTTCACTTTCTTCTTTCTACTCCTCTGACTTTTCTTTCTTCTTCTTCGCATCTGTGTTTCTTTTTAGATTCTGTTCTTCGTATATATCCATACATCTTCTGTTGAATTTTCGATCTGATTAAAAGGACGGAGACGGAATCCAAGAGATATTCCCGCCGGTTTCTATGGCTACCGCGGCGATATTTTCATCTCTGCGGCGGAGGAGATCACCGTCGTTAGACGCTTTTCTGGCTCCCGTTGACCTCTCCGGTGTCTCTCTTGTTCAAACCCTAGCTTCGATTTCGACGGAGGTCGTCTCTTGTTTCAGCGGCGTGCGGTTCTCGTTCCAGCGCAGGAACGCTCGTTCCCTGATTCGTAAGATCGAGATCTTCGTTGTTTTGTTCGAATTCCTCGTCGATTCAGGCTGGGGCTCGAGAAACTCGACATCTTCGTCGTCGACGGCGTTGCTGTGTCTCAAGGAGCTTTATCTTCTTCTCTACCGCTCAAAGATCCTCGTCGATTACTGCGCTCAATCCAGTAAGTTATGGCTATTGCTGCAAAACCCGTCGATTTCAGGCTATTTCCATGATTTGAATCAAGAGATTTCGACTCTCCTGGATGTCTTCCCGGTCAACGATCTCGGCCTCAGCGACGACATTAGAGAGCAAATCGAGCTTTTGCAGAGACAAGCCGGGAAATCGAGATTGTACATCGATAAGCACGACGAATCGCTGCGCGACGCATTCTATTCGTTTCTCGACGGATTCGAGAACGGGAAGATACCGAATTCGGCTGCTCTGAGATCGTTTTTCCAGGAGAAATTGGGGATTAGGGATTCCATGTCTTGCAGGACCGAGATCGAGTTTCTGGAAGAGCAGATCGTGAATCACGACGGCGATTTAGAGCCTACGGGGTCGGTGATCAACGGGTTCGTTGCGATCACACGATACTGTAGATTTCTGTTATTCGGATTCGAAGACGACGGACTCGAGTGGAGGATCGAGAATCCGAAGAAACCGAGAAAAGGATTCGTCGCGCAGGAGATTGGGGACACATTCATCACAGTGCCAAAGGATTTCGTTTGCCCAATCTCTCTCGATTTGATGACAGATCCTGTGATTATCTCCACAGGGCAAACTTACGATCGGAGCTCCATCTCTAGATGGATTGAAGAAGGTCACTGCACTTGCCCCAAAACCGGGCAAATGCTCATGGACTCTCGCATCGTTCCCAATCGAGCTCTCAAGAATTTGATTGTTCAGTGGTGCACGGCGAGCGGCATATCTTACGAGTCGGAGTTTACAGATTCGCCGAACGAGGCTTTCGCGTCGGCTCTTCCGACGAGAGCCGCGGTGGAAGCAAACAAAGCAACGGTGTCGATCCTTATCCAGTATCTAGCAGACGGCTCTGAAGCAGCGCAAACAGTGGCGGCGAGAGAGATCCGTCTTCTCGCCAAAACCGGAAAAGAAAACCGCGCGTTCATCGCGGAAGCGGGAGCGATTCCGCACCTCCGCCGCCTTCTCAAATCGGAAAACGCGGTCGCGCAGGAGAACTCTGTGACGGCGATGCTTAACCTCTCGATCTACGAGAAGAACAAGAGCCGGATCATGGAGGAAGATGATTGTTTGGAGTCGATAGTGAGCGTACTCGTTAAAGGTCTCACAGTGGAAGCGCAAGAGAACGCAGCAGCGACGTTGTTCAGTCTCTCAGCTGTACACGAGTACAAGAAACGGATAGCGATTGTTGATCAGTGCGTCGAGGCTTTAGCGTCGCTGCTTCAAAACGGGACACCGAGAGGGAAGAAAGATGCGGTTACAGCTTTATATAACTTATCGACACATCCAGAGAACTGCAGTAGGATGATTGAAGGAGGAGGAGTGGCGAGTCTTGTTGGAGCTCTCAAGAACGAAGGCGTGGCGGAGGAAGCAGCAGGAGCGTTGGCTTTGTTAGTGAGACAGTCTCTTGGAGCTGAGGCTATAGGGAGAGAGGAGTCCGCTGTGGCGGGGCTCATGGGGATGATGAGGTGTGGGACGCCGAGAGGGAAAGAGAACGCGGTGGCTGCGCTGCTGGAGCTGTGTAGGAGCGGTGGAGCGGCCGCGGCGGAGAAAGTGTTGAGAGCGCCGGCCATTGCGGGATTGCTGCAGACGCTTTTGTTCACCGGGACGAAGCGGGCTAGACGGAAAGCGGCGTCGCTCGCTCGGGTTTTCCAGAGGCGGGAGAACGCGGCGATGCGGTCGGGCGGGTACGGGTTCGTAGGGAATTCGAACGGGAATAGAGACGGTGGCAGTTTTACGACCGATGTCTCGGTTCCGATTTCGATCTCCATATCCGTACCTGTGTTGTGATACTATGTTTAGTTATAAAAGCTCAAGAGGAAAAACACTCGAGAGGGAACTTTTTTGTTGTTGTTGTTGATGTTTGTTTCATTGTTTGTCTATATTATATACATTTATTGGTTGGGAGGTATAATACACGTAATATTTTAGAGAACATATGTATATGTCTCATCTTCCAGGGCAAGAAAAAACGAGTTTAGTGTATCTGTGTATGTAATATCTTTGTGTACTGTATTTGGTATAATAAGCTATGAAACATACTGCATAATGATAGAATTATGGATCTATACTTATACTTGGACTTAAAGATAAGTAAGAAGACGTCAAAGGTATTGACCAATGGAGAAACCCTTTAAGAAAGATTTTCAACATAAACAATAGTTACACAACACAAAAAAGGAGAAAAAAAGTATTGAGTTGTTTAGAGGATTTCATAAAGTATAATTTGGAGATTGATGATTACAAAATTGACATAAGATAATGCCAGTCCACCATGACACTATGTTATGTTCCCTTTTTTGAAGTGGATGTGATCTTATTGTGTTTTTGCCTTTTTGGAGTTAAGTATCATGTGCGTATGCGCATTAACAATAACATTTCAACCATTTTATACAAAAAAATATAGTTTTCTTTACTTTTCATGACTTAAACATAAAGGTTAAAGTACATATACAAGGATTTTCCAGTCAACAGAGTGATCAACTTTAGTCTCCTTTACATCCGACTGTATATGTTCTTATAACTTTTTGCTATGGAATGACATTTTCCACATACGAAATTTGCGAATTTGGCGTCTTAGAGGATATCAACACAACTGAGAAATGGGTAATTTGTTCGTGCCATAACATCCTTTTCTTCTTTGCGGATAAGAAGGGTTCGTAAAATCAGAATATAATGTTTGTCATGATATATGCGGTGAGAGTTAAGATGATTCGGTTCGGCAGTATAAGTAATGAATGGATGTGGGTCGAGACTTTCGTATTAAAAGTAAGCGGGATCGGTAATTACAAACGGAGATCGGTCAAAAGACGATCTCTCTAAAGAGAGACAGAGCTCGGCACAAGATAAAGCTCGGCGACTCTTTTAGTACTAAATGTTAAGCGCTTTCTCTCTCTAGCTCTCTCTAGGATTCAACCGTCCCATCAATAGGCATTTACTGTGCTATTTATAGCTTGAGGGGACGGACCAGCGGTCCTTAGACGCTCGGACCAGCGGTCCTGGTCGATCAGGTGGGCCTCTTGATTTGGGCCGGCCCATGTGGAGGGGTGCTAAGCCCACCTCCAACATATGCTTAATTTCTTAATTGTTATAAGAAGAATTCGGACGTTGTGTCCACAATCCTTCCATTGATTGTACTTGTTACTTATTTTAAAAGAACAAGAAAACTTGTTACGCAATCCTTTGGTTATGTAATAGTGAAAATTACCTAATATAACCTCTTTTTTATAAGAAATAGCTATAATAACCTATTTATATTTTTATTACTCATATAACCTATTAATCATTTAAGCAGTGATGTATAATTCCAGTTTTATCCTTTTAACTATAATTATTTCTTTAATTTCGTTTTTGTAAATTACACATAACTATTCATTTAATTTGAACAATAACAAATTAGTTTTAGTTAATAAATAAATAAAAGAAAAATAAAATAAGAAATAAATAACTTTTAATTTCAAATCAATTGATTATTTTTATTTTATCAAATTTCATGGCAATGTATATTTGGTCTAACAGCAATTTTTTTTGTCGAACTCAATTTTTTCATTTATGGTATTTATCATTGAAATTGATTCTCTATCCATTCTACTTCTTTTCATTTTTGTTTTTTTGCACATTTATAAAATGTTTGACTATATGAGATTTCAGTTTGTAACTTTTTCTGAATTTTGCGAGAAAATATTTCATCAACTAAAATCCAATATTAACAAAACAACACAGAAAAATATCATATTAGAAGATTAAAATTCAATTATAGTGATAATTTTAGAAGACTATGGTGTAGTTTGCCAAAACTCATAGTCTTAAAAAATATGTAAAATCTATCAAAAATATATTGAATATGCTAATAAAATAGCAAACTAACAGTGTAAAATTCAAGTCTATCAAAAATATGTAGTATTCATAAAAAAATTAGAAGATTAGCATATTGAAATTTGAATATGCTAGTAAATTTGAAAGACTTTGATGTAATCTGCCAAATCTCAACAATGTCTACAAAAAATTATGCAGAGTCTACCAAATACATGTTGAGTCTGCTAATTAAATAGCAGATTAGCAGAGTAAAAGTCAAATTTACCAAAAATATGCAGAATCCACCAAAAAGTAGAAGATTCGCAGATTAAAATCCAAGTCTGCTAATATATTTGGAAGACTTTAATGTAATTTGTCAAAACTCGACAAAGTCTACAAAGAATATGTAGAGTCTGCCAATAAAATAGCAGACTAGCAAAGTAAAATTTAAGTCTACCAAAAATACGCATAATCCACCAAAAAAATGGAAGACTAGCAGTTTAAAATTCAAGTCTGCGAGTAAATTTGGAAGACTTTGACGTAGTCTGCCAAAACCTCAACAAAGTCTACAAAGAATACGTAGAGTCTGCCAATAAAATAGTAGACTAGCAAAGTAAAATTTAAATCTACCAAAAATATGCAGAATCCACCAAAAAAATGGAAGACTAGCAGTTTAAAATTCAAGTCTGCCAGTAAATTTGGAAGACTTTGACGTAGTCTGCCAAAACCTCAACAAAGTCTACAAAGAATACGTAGAGTCTGCCAATAAAATAGTAGACTAGCAAAGTAAAATTTAAATCTACCAAAAATACGCAGAATCCACCAAAAAAATGGAAGACTAGCAATTTAAAATCCGAGTCTGCTAGTAAATTTTGGAAGACTTTGGTATACTCTACCAAACCTTGACAGAGTCTACAAAAAAGACGCAGAATCTACCAAAAATATGTAGTGTCTGCTAACAAAATAACAGATTAGCAGACTGAAATTTAAATCTACTAAAAATATGCAGAATCCACAAAAAAATGGAAGATCAGCAGAATAAAATCCGAGTCTGCTAGTAAATTTGGAAGATTTTGGTATAGTTTGTCAAAGCTTGACAGAGTCTACGAAAAAATATATAGAGTCTACCAAAAATACGTTGAGTCTGCCAAAAAAATAGCAGACTAGCAAAAGAAAATCCGAGTCTGCGAGTAAGTTTGGAAGACTTTAAAAGGATAATTGTGTAAATTTTTTATAAAATCTTCAAAATTCTTGATAGGCTATTTTGGCTATTTACAATATTTTGTGGGTTATTATAGCAAATCACCCTATGTAATATGTACTCCGCTTTTGTTCATTGATGAACACTGTTGTGCGTTGATTTTGGATGATCTCGCAATCCTTGTTCACAAATTACTTGTGTGTATGAACGAAAAGACAAGTAAATAACCACAAGCCTCAAGGGCCTTATAAGTGGGAAATTTGAGACCCGACCGTTACATGTTTGCTAGTTAGAAAATTTAGTCTGAAGATATATATTAAAAGAGCAATTGTGTACACAATATCCCTCCATTTACGCTATTAAAGTTTTTAAACTTCCCATTTTTTCTTTTCACAGATATTTGTCGGAAGATATGTTTAATACGTGAACAGCTTCAAAATCAAGTTAAGCCCCAGAGCTAAAAAATCTATGAATTGCATTGATGAAATCAGAGTTGGGAGAGATCTCAAACATTTTATTTTCTATAAAGATCACAAAACTATAATTAGATTATAAACTTTAAACCGTAAAAACTAAACCATAAACACATGTTATTATAACCTATACTTTTATTTTGAAAATCGTTTAATAACCGTAATCACAGATCAAGCAAATGCAACAAAAAGTAACTTACTAGTAACTCCTTGCTAAGAACCCCCCAAATGTATCAGCACATTCTTTGGCTTTAAATTTCGATAAACACGAGATGTAAGTAAGCAAGTCCATTAACTATATCTTTACATTACAAGTTACAACACAACCCGGTTGAATAACAATTTTAAAAAGAAAATTAGCAAACAAAGATTACATTATAAGTTTTATAATAGCACATATGATTTATCAAAACCATTTAACTATGAGCATGATATACGATGGATTGTGTGACATGCAATTGGGTTTTGTTGTTGATCAGCTAAATTGTATTGGCAAAGTTCAAGACAAATCTAAATATTAGATTTTTCATTCTCCACACTATACCACATAACAATATTTATGTTTTTTTTTTCGGATTTTAAAGTTAAAGATTTATGTTTATGCGTTTTCAGCTTCATCACGATTCTCATATTTATCTTGACGGATCATATAGCCATTGCTTCCATTTTTAATGACCTTGTTTGATAAATGCAATTTACCAATTATTTTCAACCCAACTTCATTGATCTCATCTTCATTCACATGGAGGCGAAACTTGTCACTTGCTAGAGAACACATATTGATTCAAAGATAAATCTATGACATGGAAATTTGCAATTAACGGTTGGATCCATGAAAATATCGTGCATGATACTGGAATCGGTGGAAAAATCTGCAATGAAAGACATTTTATTAGTTTTTTTTTTTGTCATTCACTGACATTTGGTTGTTTTATGCATAGCCATATTGATCATTCATTTTTCCCTTTTAAAATATATATCAAAAATAATTGTTTTCAGAACAAATCTTTAAAGCTCATGACGTGCTTCAGAAATCGAATGCTATTCATGATTATGATTTGTTTCATTCAAAACACGATTCGGAAATTTAAGGTTGCTGGTATGATATCTAGTTAATCAGTTTCACTACCATATAGATTTTCTGCAACTCTTTCTCTTTCTCGCCATTTTTCCTCATCAATCAAATTTATTTTGGGTATGAATGATTATTTGGAAAATGTCTTTAAAATCATTTATAGTAATTGAAGACACACTCAAAATATTGCCTTAGAAAAACCATACTGAAAATATTAAAAAAAAAAGCAATTCTATGCACAAGCCCTCCATTGACTTCTTGTCTTATCCATTATTCACCCATCTTCTCAAGTATTAACTCTACAATTTTTTTGTGGCTAAAAGCCACTGCCAAGTGTAGAGCAGTTCCACTCTACAAGTCTGATTTGTTCATTGATGATACCAGAATGTATGTGCAATGATTAAAGCTTCAACTGCTGCAATCTCTAGCTATGCAAGCCCTACTTAGTGCAACTTTGGTGTCAAATACTTTTTTTTTTCTTTTTGCTAAGAATGTTAATATCAGTTATGAATAAAAGGTTTTTACAGATCGAAATTTGTAAATGCCTATGACAATTGACATAAAAAACAAGGTGACAATACTAAGATGAGAAAACATGGGTGATAAAAGCTTTGAAGTGATTGTATTTATGATCTGGCGGTCCAGATCCTATGATTTCCCCAAGGATCCAAGTACCTCTCTCGAAGTACCATCCTATTTTATTTTATTTTTTGAAAAGGAAGCTAAATATTTTTATTTTTTTACTAAAAACATACCAAATTTATTCAAATACTAGTTGTGAATACATTGTTTCTCTTTTTCAAGCATAGGACTAAGCCAAGCTGGGATACTACAATTCAAGGAAGCGGAATAAATGTAATTCGAGAGAGAGTGTTTTGCAATCAGGTCCGCAGCCTCATTAGCCGATCTTCGACAGCAGGTAAAAGAAGGATTCAAATATCTTCTATCACCTAGGATGTCATGGGTGTAGCTATATAACCGTGGCCATGATGTGGGATCTTTAACTGCCTGAAACAGGACCTGAGAGTCTGTTTCAAATTGTACCTCTCGAAAACCCAAGTTGTCAACAACGGACATCGCCCAACTGCCCAAGTAAGAGCTGCTGCTTCAGCCTCCAAACTAGATATCAGGGAAGGATAAGTCTTAGCGCCATACCATCTTCCATTGCCTGCTTCATCTCTTAGGATCCATCCTACGCTACACCTATCATGCGTTGATACCCATTGTTGGGTGAAATAAATTCACTAGCCGGTCGCTCCTTAAACTCTATTACAAGCTGGAGATATGATCGACTGACGACCATGATGACCACCGGTCGATCTTACTTCTTAGTGTCTAAAAGGCCTTAGCATCGACATGACGAGGCAGCGACCAACGATGTTAATTAATGGTTTAGCAATGACCAATGGTTTGTACAATTTCCTAAATCTATTGGAGTTGTGCAGAGACCGACGTGCATATCTAATTAAAAGGAAATTAGGAATGACGACCGACGTAGGAAATGGAATATTACGACGACGTCAAAGCCCAACTCAACAAGGATTAGGATCGACAAGCACCTATAAATAAGAGGTCCCATAACAAGGACAAGGGGACATTCAGAAAAACACACAAAAACCCTAATAGCTACTTGTTCTTCGCCTCTCGACGAGCAAGCGACGAACAACCTAGATACGACGAACTACGATCTACGACGAGCGACAGACGAGATTCTCTTAGTTTAATCTTTGATATTGACTTGTTGTAGCTCGATATTCAATTGATTAATAAGATATCTTCTCCTGCGTCATTCCGTTTATTGTACTTGCGAACCGGTTAAATTTTGCCCAAACAGTTTGGCGCTAGAAGGAGGGGCAATTTTAACTGCGTGAGACATGGCGGCGGGAGATGATACCGCACCGACCGAAACACCGACCGTCACCGTTGCTCAGCTGGAGGCTCTCACAGCTCAGATGAAGCAGAACGAAGAACGACTTGCGCAAATCCAGGCGGAGAACGCAACCCTACGAGCAGAAAACGCGTCATTGGTTCAGGCTCGCAATAGATATCGAGACCGGTCCCTCCTATGCAATCGTTCGACACTCCACCACTTACGGGTGCAACAGGAGCAGCCCTAGGAACAGGAGCTACCGACGCTGCGCAAGGTAACCAAACATTGGTTCCACCCCTTGCACCAACGATGGAACATCAATCTGAAGACTCGCATACTATGTTCTCAAAGCGATTGGAGGCTATGGAGCTCTTGCTCGCGCGACTTCCAGGAGTAGCTCCTCCAATCACCAAAAGTGCTCCTAATTGCTATGCAGACACTCCCTTCACGGATGCCATCGCTTTGGTTGAGATGCCAAAGAAGTTCATCGTCCCTTCAATGAAGATGTACGACGGGACGACCGACCCTGATAATCATATAGCCCAGTACAAGCAACGCATGTTCACAACGGCAATAGCAAAAGAATATCGCGAAGCTAGTATGTGTAAAGGATTTGGATCTAGCCTCACGGGACCAGCTCTTCAGTGGTTTACGAACCTACCGAACGCGTCAATCGACTCGTTCGCGTCATTGACAGACCGCTTTGTTGAGCAATTCGCGAGCAGCAGGAACATAGAAAGGACAGCCGACGATCTCTATGAAGTGATACAGAAGAGAGGAGAACCGTTGCGCGATTACGTAGGTCGCTTCAACAAAGAGAAAGTATCCATTCCGGCATGTGTCACGTCCACTGCCATCTCTGCATTCAAAAGAGGATTGCTCCCAGACAGTGATTTGTACAAGGAACTGACGAAGTACCAGTGCAGAACGATGGAAGATGTGCTATCTAGAGCATGGGCTCAAATAAGGTGGGAGGAAGACCCTGCATATCGACACCTACTTTCCCCACGATCTGATTCGCGTGTTGTTAGGAACGAGCGTCCCTCTCGAGATGACAGACCGTACCAGAGACCACGCAGTGAAAGCACTAGCAAGAGAAGCGACAGCAGAAGCGACCATCGACCACTCAACCAAATTGAGAGCGACCAACGCTCATCATCCACATGGCCAGACATGAGTAACCTCGCAATATCTCCTGCAGAACTAGTCAATGTTCTTAATCATATATCTGGAGTAAGATGGCCTCAAAAGATGAAAGCACCAGGGGAACGAAGAGACACATCAAAGTGGTGCGACTTTCACTCTGACCATGGTCATAGAACAGAAGATTGCATCACGTTGAGAATGGAAGTAAACGAGCTACTAAAAAAAGGTCACTTGAGAGATACTTGTCCGACAGGGCTAGGAGTCGCATCGACGACAGAAGCAATGACGAGGTGCAAAGAAAACCATCTCCTGCTCAATCTCCGGAGCATGATCGAATCATCAACGTGATATCGGGAGGATCAGAGGTTAGTGGAATTACTCATTCTGCTGCTAAAAAGAGTACTAGAATAGCTAGAACTCATCATGGAGATGTCAAAGCTATATGCGAGCGACTGTCGAAGTGCACGATTAGCTTTGCTTCAGATGAAGATAAGTGTGTCCTAGCTCCACATCATGATGCATTAGTCATATCTTTGACAATCGCTAATAGTCTGATGAAAAGGACACTCGTTGATAATGGGAGTTCGACCAACATTCTCTTCATGGATGCTTACAAAGGATTAGGGCTGGATGAGAATGCACTGACGCGAAAATCCACACCACTGGTAGGATTTAGCGGTGAAGTAAAGCAGACCATAGGAGAAGTGACGCTGCCTGTGTATGCAGGAGGAATTAACCGACAGACAAAGTTTCTGATACTAGATTGTGCTACTGCGTACAACGCAATTATGGGACGTCCCTGGATTCATGACATGGGGGCAGTGCCATCGACACTCCATCAAACCATAAAATTTCCTACTCCATGGGGAGTCAAAGAGATCAAGGGAGAACAAGAGCATGCACGTTCATGCTACCAAACTACCCTAAAAGGGAAAGGTCATGAGCTATATCAACTAGAGATCCAATCGTCGATTCCACATACCAAAGAAGCAGAGGTGGAACAACTCTGTGAGATCCACTGACGGAAAAAGATCTTGATGAAACGAACCTCGAAACCTACCTCTTCTAGGTTAGTTTAGCTTTCAGTGTTTTGGTTTTATTTATTTCGTTATTGTCATAGTCATAGACGATCCACGAGATGTCTCTGCTTTCAATTGTTTTTCTTTACTTCGCGCATGTCTACGGACGAACTTCTTAATAAAAGGTTTTTCTACATATGAGTATTTAAGAATTCTCAGATTATGTTCGTCACTCGCTTTAATATCGACGTTGTATCCACAACTAGTGACGAGCGACAGTCATTGCACTGCTTATGACAAACGACAGTAAAAAAAAAAAAAAGGCATTGCCTCCTCATGATAGAGCAACAACGACGATCGACGTTTCTTCAAAAAAAAAACTAAGGGCAATGCCTCATGAGCAAATTGACCATGGTCACTAGGAAGATAAGAGTCATGTACTCAATGTATATCGACATCGACGACAGTCGCTGATAACTAATTTAGAGGTACGACCTCCACATGCTATGACAAAAGTCATAAGCAAACAGATAGAAGAGGCATGTCCTCAATATACAGTGACGACAGTCGCTACTAAATAAATTAAGAGGTACGACCTCACCATGATAAGTCATGTATAAATAAATAAAGAGGTACGTACTCAATAGATAGCGACGACAGTCGCTAACAAATAAGTTAGAGGTACGACCTCCAATAGACTATGATGTCACATCACTCTTTGATTAACAAAGGGGCACGACCTCCAAATGTTATGATCATAAATCATTAGCTACAAATGAAGAGGTACGTCCTTAATCTGTGACAACATCTACAAAATCAAGAGGTACGTCCTCGTGAAAATATGACAATAAACTAAGGGGTATAGCCCTCTCACAGCCTAATAGCTGCTTATCCACTGAGAAAGGAAGATCGACGAACGACATACAACCTTTTTATTCCTATATAAATAAATCCAAGTGTTGGAAAGGAAAGGAAGCACATAATTAAGAAAATGTGGGTCCCTTTAAGAGGATATCATTTTAGCGACCGACATGTACGTAGTCTCTCCTTCTTGAATTCTCTTCTTTAATTATCTATTATACAAGCGACATCAAAGGAAAAAGGATCAACAACTCCAAATAAAGAGAGAGGGAACGACAAAAGAAGACAAATGAGCGACATACAAAAGAAATGAATAACATCTACATTAGAAAGGGAGCAAGGTCCGAAACAGCATTGACGAGCAACGACTGACGATTTGAAAAAATACGTTTTACTTAAGATTGGAGAGAATGAAGCTCGACGATTAAGAGAAAAAAGGAAGAGGCACGACTAAACATGTTTGTCGCTGGTCACTCTCTACATAAACAAACAACACAACTACATAATTAATGTACGTCGTTCCTCAATTTTAATAAAGCTACATGAGTGGTCAAGTACAACTTCTTTGGGACCCACATGGAAAAAAAGGGAAGGACGTACATGCTTCAAGAATAAAACTTTGTCATTGGTCATTGGAGAAAGAAGCTTGTCCATCTCCATTCTTAATCAATCCCACATGGATATTAAAATAAGTACGTCCCTCTTATTTTGCTTAGTTATTTCCACATGATTTAAAAGAAGAGTTTGTCACTCGCATAAGCCATCGACGAACGAAGAAAAAAGGTATGTCTTTGGGATCTTTTATTTAAATTATATGTTATGTTGCTCCATTAGTATGTGCACAGATAATATGTTAAAAGGGACAATGCCATTAGACATATATGCTTTTTGTACATCGACGTTAGTAAACGAACAACAGTCACACAAGTGACATGAGCAAGCGACCGACCGACGATATGAAAATGAAGTATTACTCTACAAATTCTAAACAAGAAATTGAAGAGTAGGGGGCAAGTTGTTGGGTGAAATAAATTCACTAGCCGGTCGCTCCTTAAACTCTATTACAAGCTGGAGATATGATCGACTGACGACCATGATGACCACCGGTCGATCTTACTTCTTAGTGTCTAAAAGGCCTTAGCATCGACATGACGAGGCAGCGACCAACGATGTTAATTAATGGTTTAGCAATGACCGATGGTTTGTACAATTTCCTAAATCTATTAGAGTTGTGCAGAGAACCGACGTGCATATCTAATTAAAAGGAAATTAGGAATGACGACCGACGTAGGAAATGGAATATTACGACCGACGTCAAAGCCCAACTCAACAAGGATTAGGATCGACAAGCACCTATAAATAAGAGGTCCCATAACAAGGACAAGGGGACATTCAGAAAAACACACAAAAACCCTAATAGCTACTTGTTCTTCGCCTCTCGACGAGCAAGCGACGAACAACCTAGATACGACGAACTACGATCTACGACGAGCGACAGACGAGATTCTCTTAGTTTAATCTTTGATATTGACTTGTTGTAGCTCGATATTCAATTGATTAATAAGATATCTTCTCCTGCGTCATTCCGTTTATTGTACTTGCGAACCGGTTAAATTTTGCCCAAACACCCATGATGCATCCACATTACATTTTAGGAATCCGCTGGGAGGTGGTTTCCAACGTGACTGTGGTGTTGCAGCTGATGCTTGTGTGCTGATGGGTTTCCTCAGTTGATCAAACCATTCTTTAGCATCACCAAGAGCTCGATGAACTAGGAGATCGGCTTGTAGATGTTTGCCTGTAAAACAGAGATCGTTTCTGTCTTTCCATATTCGCCAGAGAAACCAAGGTCCATAACGCATTCTTGCAGTGAGTTCCCCATCATGTCCTTTCTTCTCGTTGATCATAAGGCTCGCCATATTGGAATACACCGAGTCCATTGGCATTGGGTAAAATAAGAAGGATAGCGGGGATAGAGCCCATACCAGTCTCGCAAAAGGGCATGTAAATAGAGCATGATTAACGTCCTCGTTCTCTGCTCCACACCTTGGAAGCTAAATATTTTGTTCTTTTTTTTTGTGTGCGCAGATATTTATGGAAATATATGGCTAAAACGTAACGTGAACAGCAATAAGCAGGCAAGCTTCAAAGTCTGTTAACCTCAAAGCTAGAAAACTAGAAACCCTATATCACAAACGTTTGAACAGAAGAGAGGCAGATTGAAAAAAGGTTCCTTTTTTTTTGTAAGTTGCATTGATGAAATCATAGTTGCTTGTTCTCTAAGTTAACAGAGGAGACAAAAAGATGATAAATACATTCAGAACAGATCCATTTCCCTCTCTTCAGCCTCGCCACACCGAAAGAAGCTTGAAAAAAAACACTCTTTCATTATTTTAGTAAGAGTTTTGCCAGAGCTGCTGGGTTTGGTTCGAGGGCTGACCAACCTGAGATCCAGCACCATCTCTAGGGTTTTGCTGCTGGCGCTCGAGTGACATTTCTGTTTGGCCTTGGTAGAAGTTTGGGTAGCCATGAGACCCGTAATGCTGTTGTTGCTGGGCTTGACGATACCCGCCTGCTGCTGCTTGCTGACTCTGCTGTTGTTGCTGGTGTGCTTGGAGGTTGTAGTATGCGTTAGCCGGAACACCTGACATGGTTCGAGAACCATGACCGTGATGCCACATAGCCGAGTTCTCGTTCTGAAAATGTTCAGTCAGAAAGAGGAAAACGTCATCAAACAGTTCATGTTTGAACGTGTCTGAAACCAAAAGAAAGTAGAAATGAAAATTACCTGCTGTTGTTGTTGCTGCTGTTGTTGCTGCTGAAGTGCCAACAGATGATTACTCTCTTTGTATTGAGAACTCAACAACACATCATCATAACCGAGGGTTGTACTGGTAGGAGCAGACTGTTGGTTCAGAGGGAAGTTTCCGGCGGATCCAACATTGGCGGGGTTTCCAAAGCCATAAGCGGAGGCAGGCGCTGTTGCAGACTGAGGCAAATTACTGGGGGAGAGATTGGCTTTGTACTGCGGAAGTAATGAAGCAGCTAGTTGCTGGTGGTATGAGTTGTTACCAGCGTACGTTTGCTGGAAAGCAGATGGCATGTATGGATAGTTCTGAGGTATCAGAGGATAACCAATCATGTTTGCAAAGTGCGCTAGAGGCATTGTAGGTTGAGAGTAAGCATGCATCGGAAGCTGTTGTGGAAGAGCTGGTCCAGTAGCAATGTTAGCACCAGGTAAGGTTTGCTGCGTTGCAGGGATTCCACTGCCTCGAAGCGCCTGCAATGTAAGAGAATATATAATCAAAATCATACAAACTCATAAAAGTGAGATAAGAAGAACAGATCCCTCAAGATCTAATTTTGTGACACAGACAAGCGAGTTTTAGCAAAGCAAAATCCAGAATCTATTAGATCAAAACACTAATTCCTACTAAATTAAAAGCTAAGAGAAGTTAGTAGAAACAAAAGACATCAAGTGATGTTTCTCAAAGGCGAAGGGGTTATTTACCTCTGGCATGGAAATGCTTTGGCCACCAAGAGATGAAGCATTGTTGATATTTCTTGACTGCATAGACTGTGCAACTGGGAAAGGTGAATACTGGAACTCAAGCTCCCTAGCATTTTGTGCTGTTTGTGCCAATAAAGTGTTGGGAACTGTGTGTGTATACCCCTGCTGAGGCAAAACAAACAAGAATCAATGTCAGACATTCAAGAGTTTCAAGGGCATCACTTGCCTTGTATCACTTCAGCCTGAATGTATTGTTTGAAAAGCAAAACGAGGTTCTCTTAAAAGCTACATAGAAAACTAGGATTTTCAAATACTCTACTATGAAATTAATGCACATGTAGCTTACCATCACATTTGATAATGAAGCAAGATTCTGCATTTGGTTCTGTGCATTTGCCTGTGAGGCATCATATGCGGTATTCAGCTGCTGCTTAGCATTTTCATAAGCATACTCTGGCTCAGACTGAGCAAATGTGTACTGGTGCTCCTGAGTGGTATCAGAGTTCTCTTGCTTCAAAACCTCTTGCCTAGACTCTAAGGAATCATCATAATTTCCCGTACTAGGTGGATGGACCATATCTTCATTGGCCGTACCTCCAAGATTTTCATCTCCATAGAATTCAGTGTTTCTGTAAACAAGCAAGATCAAGTAGGTTAGTAAATGAAAAATGAAATGAAACGCATAAATATTCTAGACCAAAAAGAGTAAGTAGTAACAGAATACCTAGCATCTGAATGTTCAATCTGTGGAGCTACTTCAGAAGTCTCTTCTACGTTGTTGCTCAAAGGCCTTGATCCAAAACCTCCAAAACTTCCAAAACTTAATTGCGAGCATTCTTCAGTGTGGATTAGCAAATGATCTGGAATTACAACAGCAGGTCTATCCTCTTCATGTGGGGCTTCTTGATCATGACTATCTATGGTTAGTTGTTGAAAATTGGCCGAGCCAGATGAAACATCATCTTCATCTGCAAAAGTAATAACGAGACACTAAATAAGACACCATCAAGAACACCAAAAGATCATCATATGCTACTGATTCTCCAACAACTTTTTCAAGATATTACCTTTGTGGTACTCCGAAGGATGGCTCTGCGTCTGGTACTCTCCAATCTCTTGGACATTTCCACCATCAACCGAGTCAGGTTGTACACGATCGGCTCCACTATTTACAGCAGGGCTATTCTCTGCTAGATGCATATTTTCTAACCGGTCCTGCAGATGCTGATCTCCTCTATCGGATTGGAAATCAGCTTGACCATTGAACACATCCGGCTCTGCCGGTGCTACTGATACAGAAGGCGCACTAGGCGCCAGTGGCTTCTCAATTGACGGCCATTCATCTTTAACAGGAACCTGCTGGTTCACATTACCTTCACGCACATGATTGATCTCAGAACGCATATTGGCATTTGGCTGTGTCGTCTTGTTCTGTGGTATACCCATCTTCACAATGTCAGCCATAGACCTCTGACCTGAAGCTCCAAACCATGCAGTTTGATGTCCAGAAGCCGGCTGTGATGTTGATATTCCATCGCCCGAGGCAACAGGTGGCAATTTATTTTCAACAACAACAGAATCACTGCAAAAAGATAATGCATCGTACATGAGTGACCAGCACAACCCAGATATAAATATGTATCCACTGATTTATTTGCAGAGAAAGAGAACCAGTCAAAGGAAAACCTGTGCTGTGTCTGAGTCTGATGGTGGTTCGCTACTCCAGAAGCAGGAGACGAAGACCACGAACTTGTGTAGCCCTGCGTTCCACTTTCTTTCTTGTTTGTTGGTTTCCCTTGGTAGTTTCCAGAATCTGAACAACAAAAGCACAATAAGCATGAGTCCTACTGTCAAAAATACATATGATTTTCTGTAGATAAGAGATCATGTTTATACCAGTAGAGCTGTAATGGGTAGATCCACTTCGTCCAGCATAACGATCAGAACCACCTCTACCACCGCGGTTGTATGTGTTATTAGCACCACGCAGCCGGGACTCCGGTATATCCCTAGTCTGAACACAAAGAAACTGACTTTAGAAATCGCCAAAGTTCCAGTAAACCAAAACAACTAACTAGCTAAAACTAGAATTGATTTGTTCCCAGCAAAGCATCTTGAGTCAGGGGGGTACATGAGGAGTGCTCCTAATAAAGTGTTTGAAGGCAGTAAGTAGTCCTCAGGTAATCAAAAAGCACAAAAAAAAACTGAGACAATATTTCAATATCATAAGATGTGTCAATGCAGAAATTTGTGGAATAGAAACAGACGTTATGGTTGTTTGAGCACGTAATAATACACAGAATGTGCCAATTAGTTTGCATTTAAAATGCCAACACTGTACACCAAAAGCACTTCAAACGAGACTCAACCACTTTGAACAGGCTCAAACAAGGCACACAAGACATTCCCTAGTATAATTGCCATAAGAAGAAGAGTTTACGCATTGACTAACCTCTTTCTTCTTTTCTTTTTTGCTCTTTACCTCGTGAAAAGGATCTGAACAGAGAAAAAAACAAGAATCAATATCTATTAGTAGACGCCGACTGCAACAATGACCTTACACAGGAATTGCTGAAGAAAAGATTAGTACGAAAGTGAAGATTAACAACAGCTAAGGAAAAAAAAAAAGCTAATTGGCGATTTCAGAAAACGAAACTAGCTATAAAGTTTGACACTTCCAAGGAGAAATCACTGAAGGCACAAAAATCAAAAATAGTGGTCCAATCAGAATTAAAAACCCCAATCAAACCCTAATTGAAACCCTCACTGATGAGCCAATTACGAGGAAACCTGGTCGAATTACAAGCAAAACCCTACTACTGATTACTTCCCTAAGCATCCAAACACAAGAACGCCGAACAAAATTTGAGTGAGGGAAAAAGGAGGAACCTTGAGTGAGGAGGCGATTAACGGCTTCGTTAGGATCCATATTGCACTCTTTAAGCATAGCATAGATCTCAGCCTCGGGGGAGTTTACAATTTCCTTCAAGCTTTGTACTATTTTCCTAGACCCCGACGGAATATCGTGAATTCCGTTATTAGCCTTCCTTGCTCCGGCACTTCCGCCGCCGCCGCCGCCGCCGCCGATGCTGACTTTGCTGCTCATCTTATCCCGCCGCAAGCTGCCTCTCACTCTCTTGGATCTAAGCAATATACAGACGCTGTTTGCCTTCTCTGTCGCGACAATACAAAGAAGAAGAAAGAAGAAGGGAAAAAGGAGGAGGAAGTAGAGGAAGGAAGCAGAAGGGGAAGATATATAAGGAAACCCTCGGACTTTTCCTTTTTTTTTTTTCGTTTTGGGACTTAAATCTCAATTGCCCCTCTCTTTTAAAGATGAGCATAAAAGCCCTCGGATTGTGTTTAATTATTTTATTATTTATTTTCTTCATTAACCAAAACGCGTGTCAAGACATCCTCACCCTGAAATCCTGAATGAATGAATGAATCTTAAGAACTACAAAACCCAACCATGATTTTCTATTTTTGGTTTGTTTTTGGTTCGGTTTCAGTTCCCTTGAACTAATCGGCATGTATTTACTTTGAACTCAGTTACCCGATAATTTTGATCTGGTTTTGGTCGAACCGATTAGTTTATCGGATAATTTTTTTTTTAAATATTCCATCAAAAACAAGAAACTTTATCGAAATACTAGAGACCCGCGTATACGCAGATTTATTTTAAGATTTTGTAATAAAATCATGGAAAAGTATTAAACCAAATTTGATCATTTTAAAGTAAACAGAATAATATTAAAAACCCGATAAAAATATTTAAATAAAATAAGATCGGTAACCTTTTTACGTTTTTATTGTAATTGATATTTTTTTTGAATTCATGATATAAAAAATGAATTAATTTGTTTTATTTTTATTTTTATCCAATATAGAAAGACTTATATATGTCTAAATATGATCAACTGATAATTAATTCAACAAAACTTTATTATTCCATTCAAGAGATTTCAATTGATGAAATCTTTATTTAATAATTTTTTACCTAACAATATTGAAAATATATTAAACTATTTAAAATTAGAATATCGGTTCATTATATTTTCTTAATATTAGTTAGTTGCTTGATAATTAATTTGTTAGTTTTCTATTTATATTGTTTCTTTCTCAATTTTGTTTTTGACTCAGACCATTATAAATTTTCATTTTCATTATTAGTTAGTTTTTTTATTATCATTATTTTATTACACATATCGCAATTTTGTGAGTTATAAAAATCATACGTATTGCTATCATGTTGTTTGCTTTGATGAGTTTGTGAATGAGAAAAAAAAGACTACTTTAACTCTCTTTTTATAGGGTTCATGTAACTTATTCCATGCAGTTATAGGAAATTTAGTTTACCTAACCTATTTCATGTACTAATAGGATTTTATTTATTTCATTAATTTGAATCTTATATGTGTTTGGATAATATAAATTTGATGAATGAGAAACCTTTTTCTATTAGGATATGACAAATATAATTTTTTTTTCTTTTAACTATAAAAGATTAACTAAACCTAACCTATTTCATGTACTAATAGGATTTTATTTATTTCATTAATTTGAATCTTATATGTGTTTGGATAATATAAATTTGATGAATGAGAAACCTTTTTCTATTAGGATATGACAAATATAATTTTTTTTTCTTTTAACTATAAAAGATTAAAATTTCGTTTTTTTCCTTTATCTAATTTTTTTTAATTATTATTTTTTTTTCTAAGACACATGTCACGATCTTAACGGACATAACATTAAAAGTGACACATGTCGCAATCCTAAATTTTATAAAAATCCTACGTGTCGCAACCACGTCGCGCGCATCCAGCTTTATATAATAAGATATTTTTTCAGATTTTTTATTAAAATTTTCCTTATACTTTGTTATTTACATATTTCATGCTCAGAAGCTCAAAGTTTATAAAAAATTATGTCTACTGTTCTTAATGGTGAAGATGAAGTTGAAGATGATGAGGAAGGACATGTGCAAGTAGTTACACGTAAGGATGCAATTGTGGCTTCGAGAACTCTTCACAACTTTTGGCTGCATATTGAGAATACACCTCCAGAAATTGTAGATGCAATAAGAAAAATTCGAGATGAGCTCCAACGGGAATCCAATTTTCAGAAAAAACAAACTACATTGGAGTCATATTTTACTAAATTGTCTTAGATATATATGCACTAGTTTTATAATTATTATCCTAGCTTATTGTTGGGACTAGGATATTGTGGGTGTTGTGTGAGATATGTGGAATAAGCATTTTTCGACAAGTAGTTAATCAGATTTATTTCATCTGTGCTATCAGAAATCTGTTCAGAATTTAGTAGTTTAAAGCAAAGAATTTAGTAGTTTAAAGCCTTTAAACTTTCCACACTTTGCTTTCAGGATTTTGGAAACAAAGAAAGCAGTGACCACGTTTATGGGACCTATATACATGGTGAATCAGCTCTTTATATTGGCTCATAAGCCCAAGCCACTCTCCATCACTGTTATCAGAACTTGTAAGTGAAAAATTTGCAACTAATTGACACATTATTTTTTTGTTATTTCCAACTAATTTTTTCCTTCTAGTCTTCGCAAAAGTGAAAAACGATGGGCTTCTTTTGTTGGAACAAGTCTGGGACAGTGTGATTAGGCTATCAAAGCAGCTTTTCTGGGACCATTTGTCTACCCCTTGCACCTATTATCTTTGTAGCTGCAGACGAGGGGAAACATGGAGTTTATAAAAGTTGTTCTCCATTCCTATCCAGATGTGGCATACTTGCGTGATGAAAACGATCAAACTATCTTCCACATCGCTGCCACATACCGTCATGGAGCTTTTTAGTCTTATCTTCCACATTGTTGTCACATACTGTTATGAAAACGATCAACCTATCTTTTTACGGATTTATTGTTCTTGTTTTTGGTGATTTGTCGTTTAACATAAATGTTATAACTCTGAGGATGAGATAGAGAGTGAGTTTGCTCATTTCATCTATGCAATTTGAAATCTGTTCAGAATTTAGTAGTTTAAAGCAACATTTAGATGCTTCACTAGAAAAAATATTACTAGCCCTCGTAAAAACAGATGTACTACTTTTGTACAACTTAAATGTGTAGGTACGTTTATTGCTACAACAACAAAATAAAAATTAAATCTCACAGAAAAAAAGGGAGAATTGGCATTTTACCCCAAATTGAAAGTGTTCTTATCCTTTTACACCTTTTCGTTTCCTCTTTGTCCTAATACTTTTTTTTTTAACAAATTTCTCAGTTTTGACCTTCTCTTTAGTTAAATCAGGTTTTAATTTATTTTTATTTTTAATTAAAATTTAAAAATAAATTAAAAAGAAAAACTAATAAAACTAATTAACAAAATTGAGAAACCAAGAAAATCATATCCACCCATTGATTGCACACCTTTTCCATGAATCACAAGCTACATATACTTGCACCATATTTAAGATAGAGGATTAAAGAGGAGGAAGGAGAGGAAGAAGAAGAGGAAGGAAGAAGAGGAAGGAAGAACGTGAGGGTTGTGTCAGCGGTTTAATTTGGGATAGTTGGAGGAAAAAAAGGAAATAAAGATTTGAAAAATATTCAGTTACTATATTTTCTCGATTTTCGTAGAACATGACTTCTACTAAAAGTAGAAGCCAGTGATTTTACTAGATTGTGTATTAGAAACACGATAGTTAAAAACAAGGTTTTAGTAGAACACTACTTCTACAGGTCGTAGATTACACACAAACACATAGGATACGAAAACTACTTATTGTAGATAGCAATGTTTACTGTAGAACTTGAAATCTACGCATAGTAGAACATACTTCATTATGTAGAAGATAGTTGGTGCAACTTCTACGAAATGGTAGATCTTATAGCACTTAGTAGATATCGCCGGAAGAGGTAGGAATAAGTTGTAGATATTATATTCTATGACCGTTAGATTTCCGAATATCTTGTAGAAAACGAATTCTACTTTATATTATCGATTTGTAGAACGAAACTTCAAATATTTTTTAAAATATTTTAAACATTTCCAAAAATGTTGAAATATTTTACACAGTCTTGAGATCATTTATAGGATTTATGAATTTTTTTTTACTTCAAAAAACCTTTATTTAAAGTTTTTAGAAAAAAATCAAAAAGCAATCCTGACCAAAAATAACCAAAGTCAAAAAGGTATAAAGGGACAAGAACACTTCAATTTGGGGTAAATTACCAATTCTCCCAAAAAGAAAGTAAAAAATCTGTATGATGGCTCAAAACCATTGTTTCTTTTTAAATACTCCCTCTGTCCCATAATATAAGCTGTTTTGGCATAATGAATCTGCAATTTTCTGGATATATCTGGATGGAAATACATCCAAATACATCCAAAAAATTGCAGATACATTATGCCAAAACATCTTATAATATGGGACAGAGGGAGTAGTTAATTACGGTTTTCAATTTCAAAGCAAAAATTAATCGGTAACCGAACCAAACCGGAATTCTTTTTGGTCAATTTCGGTAGCCTTCTAAAAAACTTTTGTTAACCAATACTGGACAAACGGCTTGGTTCATCTCGTTAACCAAAATTGTAAGCGTAGTAATACAATTTGTCTCAATGCTACCAGATTTCTTTTTCAAATGTAAAATTTTACTGGACCGTAATTACGGTTCACTTGTTTAAAACAGGGTGTCTAATTTAAACCGAGCTAAAACCAGATCAAATCGGGTTTTCTCTCTTGTTCAAAATTTACATGAAATAATGAGAAGTTGAGAACGTTATGAAAAATGTGGGCAAAACGTATAGAGCCTTTTTGAAGCTGACACTTGCATTATTGTATACGTAATGATTGTGTTAGGATTTGAATTTCAAATCCAGTCTTCAGAAAAAAAAAAAAAAAAAAAAAAAAAGACAATTAAAAATAGTAAAGTTGTCTATAGTGGTTCATTCTCAGTATAGAAAGCTAAATTTACCCACCGCTACGAATTTATTCTTTATTATTTCTTGATGATACTGAATTGTAATATTTGTTATAGTCGAGAGGCTGAATATGTAGACTGTAGTCGGATTGTACCCTTTTTACCTATTCTAGGTATCTTCAGCATATTAACGATGTGCATGCCGTACACACACACACAAAACAAAGTGGATTCACTTAGAGAATCAATGACAGTTTTCTCTAATTTCTGATAGATATAAAGATGTGCAACTCAAATATCAAAAATTACGATTATCTATGTAACGAAAAAATCTGACCAGTTAAGTGTTAACCAGTCTTTCCAGATTATGTGATTTGTCATGTTGGCCGTAGGGGGATAAGTGATAATTACTTCAAAAGACAGAAATGAGTAATTTTGTCGTATTGTTGTCCTAGTCGTGTTTTCCGTAATACCGCGTTCGTTATACTTCTCTTGTTTCTCGCGGGAAACTAAATTGATATATTTCCATGTGACATGAATCATATACAGATACTACATAGTATATCACTTCCTATGAAAGACTATTAGTTTGGATGACAACTTTGGACAAAGCTAGCACATGAACTTTCTCAGTAAAGGACAAATAATCTCAAAAAAACTATTGCAAAAAAAGGTTGGAAACAGATGAACGAAAAGAAGTACTTGTTTTAGAAGTGAAGAAACAAATAAAGAGAGAGACAGAAGTCACAGAATCGCAACTGGGCTTACTAAGCAGATTCCTTATGTTTCATAGTAAACACTTTAGCTTTTCGTTATTTTAATTTCCTTACATGTTCTTTCTGTTGTTCGATTCAGTACGACAACAGTTTATATAGAACCTCTCCCCTAGCTTTAACAGAAAACAGTCTTCATTGTATTTGTCGTAATGCTCACTTTTGGTGAGAAACTAAAAATTATAAAATCTTTATTAGGTCATTATAATCTTCCCACTAATAATTTTTTTTTTATTATACCAACACACAAACTAAGTAACAAAAATGTAAAAAAAAAAACTCTTTTTCACAACATACCTCATTATTTTCATCTTTGTTGGAAGATGAAATAGTTGGGAGAGGATTTAAATTTTCCCACCAAAAAGAAAAAAAAAATCGTGTACTAAATAAGTTTCATATGTAAATTCCTTTTCCTCTTTATGGCGTTTTCTCTTGCTTGCCGATTCTAGCTTCCTTGTTTCTCCTTTCTCAAGTTTTCTTATATTCTCTCCCTACATGTCTTCGAGTTCCATCTCTCTCCCATCCCAAGAAATCTTTGATTCTATGATTCTCTTTTGCCCTTCATCTTTATAATAACATATATCTATACTCTAGAGGGACCTTCTTCGCAACCATTCTTTCTTTCTTTTCCTCTACCAAATCCCAAGACCACCTGGGCAAGTCTCTCATCTTTCTCTCTCTCAAAAGCTTTGACTACACGAGGAACTGAAAGAAAATGACTCACCGATGTTTCCAAATCATGCTTCTATGTCTTCTAATCACTTCACGTAATCATCTTCTCTCTGCGTCTTGATACATTAGTGTTCTCGCAACGAATTGAACTCATTTTTGTATGATGATTGGTTTTGGTTTTCAGCTGTAGATGTTATAGCTCAAGGAGGACAAGGTGATATACCAGTTGTTAATCCTACATCTCCCGGTGGCAGTACCACCACACCAACCATAACCCAACCGTCACCGCCTTCCTCAACATTCCCAGGTCCAATCACCAATCCAAATACACCAACTGGAGGTGGCTATCCACCACTTGATGGAACAACACCAACTGGTGGTGGTGGTGGTGGTTACCCCCCTCTTGACGGTACCACACCAACCGGAGGTTACCCACCACTTGATGGTACCACACCAATAGGTGGTGGTGGTGGTGGTGGTGGTGCACCTGTAGGAGGAGGAGGAGGAGACACAGGTGCAGGTGCAGGTGGAGGTGGAGGTGGCGGTGGCGGTGGCGGTTTTGGTGGTGGTGGTGGGGGTGGTAGTGGCCAGTGGTGTATAGCAAAAGCAAATGCTTCACCAACATCATTGCAAGTGGCTTTGGATTACGCTTGTGGGTATGGAGGAGCTGATTGTGGGCAGATCCAACAAGGTGCAAGCTGTTACGAGCCCAACACTCTCCGAGACCATGCTTCCTTTGCTTTCAATAGTTATTACCAGAAGCATCCTGGTTCAGACAGCTGCAACTTCGGAGGTGCAGCACAACTTACCAGCACAGATCCAAGTAAGACATATAAGTTTTTTTACCTACAAGTCTTTGACCATAAGAACCAGGAATAGAGCATTAAGTTATCTTCAAATCTTATCTATTGCTGCTCCAGGTAAAGGAAGCTGTCGCTTCTCAGCTTCATCAGGAACAGTCAGGTATGTTTCTCTGTCCCACGAAAACTAACCTGTCGAACAAAAAAGTGAGAGAAAAGAGTAAATGATTAATCTTCTTGCCAAATGCAGCACAAGCCCGCCTAGTCAACCGAGTCCACCAGATTTTACTTCCCCACCAGATTTTAATTCCCCACCTTCTTCTACATACCCACCTCCAATAACAACTCCAACTACAGGCATACCTGGTGGTTCTGGACCACCCTTCGGCGTGGCAGAGCCAACAGGGCTTCCGAGTTCAGCAACCTCTTTGTCACATAGCTTCTTCTCACTATTTACAGCTGTTTGGATGATACTAACGCCACTCCTCAGGGGAAATTATCTTTAAAACGGACTAAAGGTGTCAGGATTTCAATCATTTGAGGCGCGTTTTCTATACATGGAGTTGAAGAAAGCAGCAAGAATATTTTAATCTAAGACCTTTACTCTCGTACTATGTTCTCTTGCTATAGTTAATCATGGAAACTGGAAAGTATATTTATTTAGTAGGAGATATTACAAAATCAAAAGGGCTTAGGATATATACATTCTTGTAGACACATTAAGAACCATAATGTATATCTTTAACAGTTTTAGAAAAATAAAAATACTTAGGAAACGGTTAAAGACTACCAAAGCAACGTTAAACATGACTAAAACATACAACAAATAAATATACCTGCAGCATTTCATTAGTGAGAAGGCACACCGATCCACAATACCTGCAGAGCATTTTAAAACAGTTGCTTTGCATCACAATATTTCTTAACAATGCTCTTCCAGTTTCTCTAATTCATGATCTTCTAAGTGGTTTATCTTGGAATCATGTGAGATTAAAAGATCAATTCGTTACCAGCGGATAGAAACAAGCACACATTGAGTTGAGTAACATTGAGTAAATAAAAAACAAGCACACTGTATTTCTTGTCTCTTCATACACATTGTTACAGTGATTTACAGATTGACAGTCTCTTTTTGTTTGTCACGAGAGTATAGTTATTAAATCAAGAAAAGGATGGATACAACTGTGACACCAATGATGCCTAAAGTGGCAACAACTGAGCTCTGATCAAATGATTTCTGCAAGCTCCCTGCTCGTGTGAAATGCTGGAAAGCCAAGAAACAAGAGATCGCCAAAGAAATGAGAGCCCCTTCTTGCTTCCCTCTGCACGTGGATGGAGCTAAATGAGTCTCCACGAAAGAAGAAGAAAGAAACAAAACCATGATCTCAAACATTTACATTCTCTAAAACTCTGACCTTATGTTCATAACTTGATACGGCGCCACGATCGTCAAGAGCAATGCAATAAATGGCAGCTCAAGTTCACCTATATAAACATAAAAAAAAAAAAAAAAAAAACATACCGGAAAGAATTACAAGCAGATCAATACAGGAACAAGTTGTTGATAAAGCATGGGAAGACAAGAACTAGTTGAAGATGAAAACAAACCTGGAAAAGCGAAGAAGAGACGAGCAAGAAGCGCTAGGAATGCTGCCCAGACTCCATATTCACCCCTGCAAAAGTTTGACGGACTTCGAGATTTGCCATACACACAAACACAAAGTACTCTCATCACATAGCCATTCAAAAAAGCTTACTTAGCCCAGGTGATAATGGCGGATGGTGCGGTTAGAGCGAATAGAGGAACAACAAAGGACTTGTGGATACCAGTACCTCTTGCAATCATCAATCCACTAAAAAAATTAAAACACCACTCAGTAATCAGTACTACTTATCACATTGAACTTATGCTGCTGACTTTATCAAACTCTGGAGATTTCAATTCAATCAAAACGAATAGATATCCAAGCTGAATTTCCTAAATCCTGTAGCAATTTTTTGTTTTAATTACAATCCTCGATTCACACTATTCCATATCTGGATGAAGCTAAATTTCAAAGGAATTTATTTACACATGAGCAGTCAATGTGAATGAGAGAAAGAGATCATACACGCAAGAGATCGCCGAGATCCATTGTAGATTAGGGACAGACATGGGAGCAGCATAACAGACTACACCCGATCTTCTCTTTCGCTGCTTCTCAACTCTCGTCGACACCGTAGCGGTTCGCTGGCGATCTATCGACACTCTGCCAACAATTTGTCAGAAGGTGAATGAAAAACGACTACGAAGTAGAAAAATCAAATCGCGCGTTTACCTAAGAGGATTGAAACAAGCAGAGTGAGCTACACCGGAAAATTCCGACGAACGTGGCCGGGATTTAAGAGAGAGAAACGGTTTCTGGTGGTGGAGAGAGACGATCCGGGACGACGATGAGAGACAGAGACTCGCCATGGTGTGTTGTTTAGAAAACGGTGGTGGGAAACTGGGAAAAATGACGGAGTGATCTTTCCGTTAAATTGCATCATCGTGACCAATAGATGGTCGTCACGTGGACGGTTTAGAATACTCGCAAAGTGGGACCTCCAAGACCCAAAGTTACACGTGATTTCGAAAGCGAGAGTCGTTCGCAATCATCAAAGAATCTTTGAATCTCTACCGTTGGCAATCAATCAAACTCGAATGCAAATCCGCCCACGTCAGCTTTATAATATCCAACTCAAATGACCGACATGGCACGAGTCGGCACTGTGAGTTTTCATCTCTGTAATGATATTTCAGTTTCAGACATGACAAAAACTCTCATTGTCGATCAAGAACTTAGGATCGGGATTTGCTTTTACGTTTTCACTCTCAAAACTCATATAATTATTTTTAAAAATACAAAATGTAAACTCAAACACTAAATATTAAAGTACTCTTTTTTCTTACTGTACAAATTGCCAAAGCTTTTAATAATAAAACAAAAGCAACAAGAGTCGCGAGAGAGTTACAACATAATTTACCCACATAAAAACCGAGAGTATTCATGGTTTTTTTTTTCATATATACTCCATGAAGAAAACAAAAAAAAAAAACAGAGAAGATACTTCCCAGCTGCAGCATTTAAAAACCTGCAAATCGAAAACACACTTTGCAGGATTGTTCTGCATCAGTTAACTCTCTGCCTTCTTCCAATATGTACGGTTAAAAAATTAGTACTTAAAAAAAACGGATATGATCACAACAACAACACTTGAGTCTTCTCTTCCCTCTTGTGTCAGCTTTCATTGAGCTCAGAGTCAAGAAGATCCTCATTCTTAGTCTCCTCAACACTAACCTATAAAGAACAACAACATACCTTCACAATCAGAGGGAGCAAAAAGAAAAAGTCTAGAGATCATCAACATCTTGATGGTTGGTTTACCTGTTCAAGAGAGTCTGAATCGTTGTTAGGGGTATCGAAGATGATGGGGCGGCAACGCATGTCTTCATTCATGAGGCTTGAGTTCTGGAAATGGGCTATGAGTGCAGATTTTCCTTGTATCCGAGCATATGCCAAGGAAGCTACTTTCTCACTGTTGAACTTCTCCCACTTCTTCCCGTTAAAAGCCTGCAAAAAAAAAAAAATGGATGTCTCGTTTACTTCATCTTCCCACTTTTATCGTAAAAGCAAAGTGGAGAGAGAAAAGGAAACCTCGTAAAATGGAATGATGAGATCTGGAGAGAGCATGTTGATAAACGCATAGCCAACATTGCATTTGTTCTGCAAAAAAAACCAAAATCTTATCATTAACCGCTCGCTGTATCAGTTACTGAATTTGTAACATCGAATGAATTCTTTTTATACCTTAAAATCAATGGGCAGATACAGAAAGTTGTAAGTTCCTTGGTTCTTTTCATCAATAGCCGCTAGCAACATCTTCGAGGTATATCTGTTTGATAGCAACACCATGAAAGAAAGTTAGACTCCGAGAAGCATACCACAAGAAAGTAATGGTAAAGAGAAGAAAAGCTTTACTTGTTTGGAATGTTTTTAATCATCAAGGTAGTTCGAGAATCCTCTCCCTTCATAATTTTCTCCAAATCAAGCTGAAACTGCTTCCTGCTCTCGACCTGGCTCGGATTGTTCTCCACTCTACGTGCCCTTCCATTCTCATATAAACCATCAAACCGTCCCGGGTTGAGACCGCTGCTCAAGAACATGGGGCTGAATCTCGGTGAGGACATCATCGTTCTGTAACTTGAGAAACCGTTCTCTGCCATGCTTCCAGGGTTCATGATCCCATGGTTTCCCATTTTCGACGGGAAAGTTCCACCGTTGAGACCCATTCCACTCGCTCCTTGAAGACCACCAGTGTTCATGAACAAAGTGTCCTTTGAAGACTCTGGGAAGAATCCAAAATGCTTCTCTAGAGGAACACCAGATGGTGCTGATCCAACATGGAGATGGTGATGGCTGCGGTTTTGAGTTTGATGCGGGAATGGAACAGATCGGTCTACACGAGCTGAGGAGAATGGAATCCCAGTGGATGATGTTGACCAAAGCGAAGAGTTTGAAGGCTCGGAGCGTGAGTTAGGACTTCCCCAGAGAAACTCTGAACCTGATAACGTCTCAATGCCACCTCCATTAGAGATCAGAGGACCAGAAGGCGAAATGTTTCCAGTGTACTTGTTATCCTGCTTTGGCTCTTGGAACGACTGTTGAAAGAGGTTGCTACCAATTTGACCACGACCGATGGGTGCAAGCTTGGAGCTTGGAGCTTGTGAGTTTAGAGCAGAAGCCAAACCAGACAAGTGGCTGTTCCTTGTAGGACTTATTCCGAAAACAGGTGACCTACTCAGTACACTCTGAAGAGGACTACCCTCAACGGGACTGTTCAGCTGCAGCCAGTTACCTGCCACAACATCAAACAATGTTAAGCCTTTTAAGTAATGTCAAAATCACAACTTTTGAAAGAGAAGTGTATAGTCAATAGACTCACTTGGAGGAGAGTTTGCCATGGGTGAACCAAGCAGAGGTAGGTAATGCAAATCATCGTTCTCAAGTTCTTGGTTAAGTTGCAACATCAAGCTACAAGATCAAATATATATGGTCAGATGTATGAAATATAACAGAATTATAATTACTGAATGTGGCGGATTCAAACCTTCGGCGTGTTCCTCCAGGGCGGCTAGGTTCAACTTTTATACGTTTTCCTGCAATCTCGCACCTGTTTAATGCCTTCAAAGCTGCTTCAGCAGCTCGAACGTCATAAAACTCGACAAATTTGTGATGCCTCTTGTGTGGTGTTTCCCTTATCTGCTTTTTCAAAGAGGAGGAGAAAATAGCACTTAACATTGGTGTCTTTTCTTTCAAACCAACTCAACAACATAAACAAATAGAAAGAAATAAATCTATCACCTCTTTGATCTCGCCATGAGCACCAAAGATTCCATGCAAGTCATCGTTGGAAACTGAAGGATCCAGGTTGAAAACAACAAGTGTCCCCTGGTTCATATCCTTCTCAGATGGATTATCCTACAGAGAACAAGCACGTTAGAAACAAAAAAACTAGAACTGCAACAAGAACTGGTGACTGTTAAGAAAGAACCTTAGGAATTGAGAAGTGAATATCAAGTTTTCTCCGTCTTAACGGCTTATTCTGCAAAGACCTCATAGCCATTCGAGCAGAACGAATGTCATAGTAAGATATCATGACAAATCCCCTATGCTTACAAGTCGTATAAAGCGTTCTTATGTCACCGTATTGCTGCCACATGTCACACAAAAACATCACCCATCAGTGTCTCTACAGTAAGTTTGAGATCCAATAGTGTAAAGGTCAATGTTTGTTGAAGTTACCTCAAAGAGAGTTTTGAGCTCGGAGTCCTCTACATTGCTGTTGATATTCCGAACAAACAATGTTCTTGACGGATGCTCACCATAAGGATGTTCACCAGCAACCGTTCCCGCACCGTTTTGAACATTGAATTGTGGAGCCGCGTTTCCAGCAAGACTTGATGAAAGGGAGAGTCTTGGAGGACCGTTCATGCTCATGCCGTCACGGAAATCAGCGTCGAGCTCCATTCCTCCTCCACTACCAAAGAGATCGTAATCATCAGCGTCTGGTAGTAACTCGGTCAGGTCAAGATCATCCATCATCCCTGTCAAGAGATCCTCTTCATCAGGGAGCAGGTTTCCGATGGAATGAGAATCGATATCATCAGCACTCTCGTGAAACTTGTTCTGGAGGGAAGCAGCCGCTTCGTCTATCAATGAGAAATCATCTCTGTTGTCACTCAATTGCACTGCAAAAAGAAGCAAACTTTATCAATGAGAAATCATCTCTGTGTGTGAAATGAGTTAAAGGGATTTGGTTTTGTACGTTTGCCATGAGGGAGAACAGGTAGAGAGCTGGAGAACAAAGAAGCATCATTTGGGAGGAGGTTACGGTGGCGACTAAAGCCAGAGGGAATCCCCCAAGCTCCACCTCCTGCTTCTTGTGGAATATCCATTCACTAACTTGTTTCTTTGATGATCTGTTTTGCAAAATTAAGAGAGAGAGATTAGATTAAACACATTAGAAATCTAAAAGTTAACATGCAAGCAAGAAAGATTTGATTGAAGGAAGAAATCAACACATAAAACAAACAAAAAAGCTTGATCATTTCGAGATTATGTACAAACTAAGATCAAAACTGTTTTTTTTTTCCTCTGATCAAACTAAATACGTGAAGAAATAATCAACTTTTACAAGTAAAAAAAAGTGTTTTTTTTCTCCTTTGCTGTTGAAGAAAGTCTTAAAAAATAGATTTTGACTAACAAAAGTTTCAACCCAATAGCAATAGTATAAGTCGCCGGTTTATGCAATCGGAATCAAAACTAAGATGATCGTTGATCAAAGAGCATGATTGGAATGGTCAGAAGATCAAAACGAACAGAGAACTACGTAGCTCGGTGAAACGATACTGACCAATTAGCTTGTTCTATCTGGATCATCAAAAAGCTTAAACCTTTCCGATACTACTATTGATCGATATCGCCGACAGAAAAAAAAAGGATCAGCTTTCAGTGATAAAACCCTTTAAACAAAAACCTAGAAAAATGGAGAGAGAGGAAATTTCAGTAGAGAAGACATTCAATTGGCGAAAAACATGAAAACCCAGACCAGAAATTGCGAAGAAAGGGGATAATTTGAAAGTGAGGAGGTAAGAGTAAATACCTCAAATGTGCAGTTACCAACACCGACGATGATCACGATACAGAGCACGAAGAGAGAGAGAGAGAGAGAGATTCTCTACCAACCAAAAAAACACATACAAAAAGAAAAGAAAAAAATGAGAAGAAGGAAGAAAATTTGGACTTTTCTCTTATTTTTTGAGGGGTCTTAATAGAGAAAGAAAGACAATAATGGGGGAGAAAAAAATGAGAAACACAAAGAAAGGATGAGAATGATTGATTGATGTGCTAAAGAGGTTTTTCTTAACTGTATTTAAATACATCTTTGAGTCCGATTTTGACACTTTTTTTTTCTTTTAAGTTTTTTTTACTTGTGATTTTGACACTTCCGTATTTATCTTTTTATCAGATAGAGTTATGAGTTAACTTATTGTGAAGTTATTATCCATAAATGTATCCATAGATGTGTTAGGACTTAGGATTTATCAAATCAATATTTGACTTTTTTTTGTTTTTGTTAGTGAAATAAATGTATAGTTTACGTATCTGTATTTTAAAACACAGATTGCACCTGTATTATCCATTCAATGTTTATATTCTGTGTTGATAACTAAATAATTATATTCGTTTGCAAGTAACAATGTATCCACACGCAATTGTAATCTATGTTCGCATTAGGAAGAAGAAGAAAAAACAAAAAACATGCTCTTTAGAGCAAAACACAAACAGATGCTTATACCTTGCGCAAAATTATAGAGTTGATATAGTGATGTCTTTTGTTGGTTAATGTTGGCATCATTATGACGGAATTCATAATATATATTTATGAATCAGACATTTTGAATCAATATATGTTTGAAATCAATGTCGCCAGGAAAAAAGAAAAATTAAGCACTGCATTTAACTTATAAGTTGTTAATCTGATTGGTTGTTTTATAAGTTCATACAAGGTGGTTGTCCCGCACCTTGTGCGGGTACAATATTTTTTAAATACAATTATTAATTAAAGATTTAAATAATATAAGTAGTACAACTTTTTATTGTATTCATCGTTTTTGTTTTCGCAAACTTCTTATTTTTGTAATCTTGAGGTGTCTTATTTTTATCTTCTCTTTCTTGTTCTTCTACGTAATATTCTTCATTTGTTTTGGAATTTTCTTCACATTCCATTATTTCTTCTTTCCTTTCTTTTTCCTCATGTTCGACTTTTCTTTTTCTTTTCTAAATTTTTCATCTTCTTTTTCACTGTTTTCTTTTCTTTTACTTATGTATCTATTATGTCTTGTTTGTGTCTTGCATATCACCTACCAATTCATTTCGATAGTTAAAATTTTCAATATTTTTGAAATAGATTCTATCTTTATATAGTTGAGGTCTTTTAAAAATTTATTAGTTTTGTTATCTTTCAATTCTGGATTTTCTTTAGTTGTTTTAGTTTTTTTTTCTATTTGTGAATGTAATTTTGAAAGTAGATATAAATTTCAAATAAATGATTTTTTATTATGAAATTCTTCTGTGATTTTTTATTATGAAGATTTAATCATAGATTTTCATTAAGGGCATCTCAGTAATGATTTTTTATTCCGCGGCTGAGAGTTAACGTGGTGCCTTCATTTGAAACTTGATGCTAGGATCGATACTATCTGCATCATAACTCCTCGGTTTTTCAATCAAAGCCTCTTTCCAAATAGTAGATTCACTTATATTGACAACCTCTCCTATCAAATCTTGTAAGAAAATAAAACAATAAAAGAGGGGTTAGATAATTAAACGGTTTTCGAATATGAGTTTAACTATACTTGAATATAATATACGTACCTACTAAATAATCATCACAGTGTGAACCATCTATGATTTTTTCAAAATCAACGAAATTGAAAAAGTGTCTTACGCTAGCGAAATAGATCTTTGTGATGATTGTTGTTGGCATCAAATATATTCGATTTAGATGCCAAGTAGCTCTACAATGTCCTGTCTGAGTAGTGACATCGAAATTCTTAATGACAATCCAATCTCCCTCGTTGACCTTGCAATCATAAGCCTCATAAACGGAAACATGCACAGTTGCTTGAATCTTCTCTCCCTGAAATATTTATAATACAATAGTTACAAAATCACTAACGTATCAATATTATCTATCAGAGTTTTTGTTTGGCTTTATCCGATACCTCTTCATCAGATAGTATGAGCTCTAATCTTTTAGCAGAAGTTGGGTGATCGTTTAGCCAAAAGCGCAAAACTTTCACCAAAATTTCAGTATCGTGAGTCCTCGGCCCAAGTCGTGAAACTGTATACCTCTTCCTCAAGTCCTTATCATATGTAATAAGCTTCTTGTAGGTGCCTGATTCATTGACGTAACCACTCTAGATCTATTATTATTGAGGAAGCAAATACTATGGATATTAAAAAGAAAAAAAAAATCGTCATAGATTCGCTATTAGTATTAGGGTTTCATGAATAGATGTTAATACCTTCTATTGCTGGAGTTGAATATTTCGCGCTTGAGACCAGATCTGATCCTCTAGATTCCATTAGCTTGGAACTAACTGTACCAAAGCGAGAGAAGAAGAAGATAATCATTATTACAGTAAATAGAACTTAAATCAAAGTAAAACCATAAAGATGCATGAGAAGAAAAAATATGAGACCTAAGAACTAAAATTACGTATAGAAAGAAGAGATGCAAATAGTAAAGAGAATTGGGTTGATTATGGTTGTAGCTATCCCTATATATAAGAAAGAATCGGAAAAACAAACCTAGGTTTTCAATTTTTTTATCTTTTACTTTTTTCTTTAATTTTTTCCATAAATGTGACGCGAAATATGTTAGGTATGTGGTATATATCCAAAAATAATTTATGTAAATATCCAAATTGACGTTTTTTATGTCGTATATATCCAAAAATAATTTATGTAAATAACCAAATTGACGTCTTTTTAAAAAATAAAATAAATTCGTTTTTAAATAAGATATTAAGCAAATTGAAAGATTTAATAAAGATTTTCATTAAGGGTAGTTATGTAATTCGTGGCTGAGAGTTAACGTGGTGCCTCCATTCGAAATTCTGACTTTGCAAATAATAGTATAATTGTCTCTTACAATTTTGCATATCTTCCATATCTTCCAAGAGGTCATATCTTCCATTGAGCATTGATCAATAATGTATGACATAAAGGCCTTTTGTGGTAGTCAATCTCACTTAAAAAATTTAAAAGGAATATATCAAAATCAATTATTCCTTTGACACGTACGATGATGGTCCTTAACCATCACTATTATCAAACTAACACTTGCTATAAACTAGTTTTTTACATAAATAATCTTGGATTTGTTCATCTTCGTTTTTCTATTTCTCAAAGTTTAAGTCGAATGTAAATTAAAAAAGAAAGGAGAGAAATACCGTTTTGAAATGTATTCTGAAGTCATGCCACGTTGGTAGTTTTCATATGGAGATACTTCAACTTTGTTTTTATATAAACCTTTTAAATTACATTATACTTTTTAAAACAAAGGTGAAAAATTTATCTATTTTTTAGAAGTGCAAACAAACAATCAAACGGTAAAAACTATGAAATTCGAATGCAATAACTTCATTTGTATAATGTATTATTATGATGGCTTTAGAAAGTTTATAATCACACCCATACATTGATTATTTGTAACTTCTGTTTCTGTTGTTAAACAAAGTTGTAGTAAACTTCTCTGTAGCTTCTTACACTATCTAAAACATTCATTGTATCAATTTGGATTAAAAGGGAGCCATTATGTTGATTACTTGACTGAGTATCATTTGAAATAAACTATTACATGTTGTCGAATGACGTATGGTGAATTGGTGAGCCACATAGTCAACGATTCGACCCTAGCTAGCTTTTAAAGTTTACTTTATTGTAATCTATAATAGAAACTATAAACACAAGTCGGATTGATCTTACGCCATACCCAATCATCAAATAGACTTGTATTTGACCAAGAATGCAACATCTCTGAGATGTTGGTTGGTGGTAAGATGAATTTATTTCAATCATCAATACGATATATAGGAAACTAAAAATGGACCAAAAACATCGTGTCGAATTGAACATACATGGCAAATTATATCCGAGAGAGTCGGAAGGATTTTTTTTTTAAAGATGAAACGAGGGTTGTTTAATAATGTAGGATAATGTCATAATGCTTATAATATATTAAATTCTTGTCTTCTACTCCCCTAAGAATTGAGATGTCACGTCATCGTCCACATATAAGAAAATAATACAGCTTTAATATGTAATGCCCAATTATCCATACTTTATCCTTTTGTTGTGTTAAACCAATCATCCATCCTTGGGGCTG